TTGCGACTGCGACTGGAACAGAGCGGGGACTACGATTTCGACTTTGTATTTAGCCATAGATTATGCAAAGCTTTGTTGCCGCTTTTGTTGCTCTTTTCGGTGGTTCTTCTTCTCCACTCCAAATGACAAAACAAATGATTCTTCTCATATAGCCAGGCGGCAAAGCAATCGCCGGCGTTGCACAGTGGAACACATTCTCGATATAGCTAAGAAAAACTGAACTGAAATATATTGCTTTTGTAAAGTTGGGAATGGACTGATTTGAAGAACTGAACTGAATGATCTTATGGAGTCTTGCAAACACGATTTCTCTTTCAACTCGCTTTTTAGATAAATTTCAACAACGATGGTAATATAACTATCATCCGTCCTCTAAGGTGGAAAGCCAAAAGAAACTCTTCCTAATCTATGTCTATTTATTTTACAAAACCCATGTAATCTCCTCTACACTACGAGTATAGAAGATCCAATGCTAGTACTATATTCGTTTAAAAATTATAATATTGAAACCAGTGTGAAAAGGTTTTTAAAAAAGACAAAGTATTTGAAAAAACTTATTTTGTATATTTGTTTATTTAATTTTCTTTCTACTTGTATAGAGAAACATTTTCAAACTTTATCAAAAAGCGCTTTAAATGAAAAAGAAACTTGGCTTTCAATATCAAAACTGTAAATTGGAGATTAAGGCTAACTATTAATTAAGTAAGATTTCATATAAAAATTGAGGTTGTGGAAGGAAAGTAAAAGAAATTATATATGAAGCAAAGAAGAGGCAAAGAGTGTAATGGGGTTCCCAACATATAAAACTCAACATCTTTTGCGACTCGTTTCAAGTGAAGCTTTAAAAATAATTAAGTACGTAGTGGATCAAAATTTCTATCAACATTTTAGCAAGAGTGGGCTGTTTATTATAATACAAGTATAGCTGTTTTCTTTTTTTTTTAGAATCCCCCCAAAAAAAAAAGTAAAGCTGTTTTGTTAACATTTTAGTTTGTTTCGATGGATAAACAGAGTGGCTGCAATGGCTCTTTCCAGTCAGATTTCCATATCGTTACCACTGTGTTCGGTTCGTTGTCGTCGATGGCGTCTGGGCCATCGTCATCTATAATGTCGTGCATATCCACAGTAGACACCCGCTGTGCGCGTCTGCGTCTGCGTCAGCAGCCCACCACCATTGAAAGAGCGGCTAACAAATTTTCGTTGAAATTTATTAGTTTTGACTTTTTGAAGTTTATTGAATTAAATTTTATTTATACGAGTTTATAGAAATTACATGTGTGGGGCATCAAGTAGGTGGCGCCGCAATCGCCGCTACTCTCACTGCAGCTGGTCACAGCCCTCCACACTCGCACACACACACGCACATGCACATGCACGCATACAGGCACGCACACGTGCAGAAAGAGACACCCACACAGTTGCAGTGCTGGGCACGACTTGTGCTCTAAAAATGCTTTTTGCCAGCGGGCAAAAAAAATTTGTTCATTCAATGCGAACACGAACAGGTTTGACGAACAATGAGAAAATGAAACTCATCTGCGTACTCGCTCTGTCGCAGCTGCCTCTGCTGCTGCCTCTGCCGCTGCTGCTGCTGCTGATGGTGCCTGTGCCGCTGCCCCCAGCTGCCTCCCACTGCCACCTCAAGCTCCAACAGCAGCAGCTGGCAGCTGCTGGCAGCAGCCACTGCTCTAGTGAGCGACTCTGACTGTGCGCAAAAATAAAAATTACAAGTCGTATGTTAAGGACGCGCGAGCACGACTTTTGTATACCCTGTAAACGCGCCTCTCTTCGCCAATTGAAATTAACTTTATTGCACCAATCGCTTACATACATTACATTATAATGATTAGTAGAAAGTGCTTTTTTTTAACTTATCGGTCCTATCACAGCTTTATGTTATAGCCCAACAATTTTTGTAAAATATAATAGCCAGACAGTACTTTTAAATCCCAAGTTTGGTTTAAATACATTTTTAAACAAAAAAAATTATGAAATGTTTCCACCGATCGTTCCTATGGCAGCTTTTAGTCACCTTTAAATTATGATAACATACAAATATGGTTACATTATCAGAAGTTATTCTGAGTGTTCCTATTGCAGCTATATAATGTAAATATGCTACATATATCGGTGTTAAATAACGTGTTTTGCGTTTAAATAAGACAAATCCACATAGCAAGTTCTTATGTTATTAACAAAAAAGGTATTTAAGTGAAAGAGAAATGTTTGCACCGATCGTTCCTATGGCCGCTTTAAGTCAATTTTAGATTATGATGAGGCATGACGAAACACCTAAAAATGTTTTTACAATATCCTGCTAAACACAGAAGTTATTCAAAGTGTGCCTACAAGTATGGCAGCTATATAATGTAAAGATGATATATATATATATATAGATGGTAAAATAAGACAAATCCACATGGCAAGTTACTTTATACAAGTTCGTACGAACGGACATAGCTATATCGCGCGTCTCATCTCGTTCTACTGATACTTGTATATATACCTTTTAAGGTCTGCCACGACTCCAGCTATCTACCAGTATTACATACATATGGCGTCAAGACTTTATAATATGCCCTTTCACCGCTCGAGTACAGGGTATAACCAGACGCGCAGCCAACAACAGTAACAACAACAACAACAGCAACAAGCCTGCCAGTCACTCAGCAGCAACGTCAGCAGCGACTGCGACTGAGGCAGCGGCAGCGGCAGCAGCACCGGCATCGGCAGCGACGGCGCATTGGAATGGCATCCGAATCCTACCGTGGGAAATGAACAGTAGTTTTTGGCTTTTGGAGCAATGAGCGAGCGGCATGTACCGAGCACAAAACGAGCGCACACACTCACAACAGCAACAACAACAACAATAGTAACAACAAAAGCAACAGCAACAGAGAAGCGCAACGTTTTGCGACAACCAAACAAGTTGTGCTGTCTGTTTAGCTTTTTGTAAGCCAAAAAATAGCTTTTTTTAAGGGAAACAAATAAAAATGAGGAGAAACTTTTGAAATGGCTTTTTACTATTTTTAAATGCTTACGAAGTCTATGCTTCTTCAAATAGTGTCGAATTTTTCGTAAATTTTCGGTGGCTATATAAGCAAGTAATATATTTTGTAACCCTGTGACCACATAAGTTGTACTGTCGTTTATCTCTTTGCTAGCCAAATAAGAGCTATTTTAGTGCAACAATTGAAAATGATGCAACACTTGTGTGATATATTTTCAGTATTTCAATAATTTCAAGCTTCAAACAATGGAATGGAATATTTAAATTAGGCAGGTCTACTTTTTTTGGGCTATTTTAGGGAGTAGTAGTATGTATTAGAAAATATAACTATAATCATATATTTAGGATATTTAGTTAAATACCTTAATTGTAGGGAACTAAAAAGGTTAAATAAAATAAATTGTAACTAAAATATGTAGTTTCAGGTTGAGTTTACAAAAGTTTGGGTTAGTTCATTATCTATCCATTGCGAGTCAGAGACAATTCCAGAATACAAAGTCATCTTTGTAAATTTTTTTTATTTTAACAAATTAAATCTAGTATCTACATAATACTAAACTTAATATTAGATTAACGAGTTCTAGCTATTCGGGCCTTCGACTCGTAATATTCTCTTAATGCGTTCAAGAAATATGTAAAATTACATATGTATATATTTTATTACTGATCTGTTATATCGCTTATACATTAAATGTACATTAAAAAATTGTTGTACTTTTTTTTGTCTCTATAAGTACAATTACAAAATTTATCATTGTAGAATAAAATTGATAATTAATAACCATAAAGGGTTAACTTATTTCTATATATTTTAATTTATATATATGTTTTTCAAATTTTTTTTTATTTCTTTTTATTTATTTACTTTATTAGTTCGACAAGAACATTTCTTTCATTAGTATTTCATCTATACTCCTTAAAACTGCCCAGTCATGGGTAGTAGGGGTCTAGCTTTTTTCCCGCTAGCCAGACAACACTGGCGTGCAAATGAAAATTGCAACGTTTTGCGACAACACAAGTTTGTTCCTGCTGCCGCTTGTTGTTGTTGTTGTTGTTATTGTTGTTGTGGTCGCTATTGTGGCATTACTTTTGCAATTTCACTGCAGTGCACTGTTTGTTGTTGTTGTTGTTGTTGCATTTGTCGGCATATCAAATAAGCCTAATAATAATGCAATTTATGCCAGCGCTGTGCTGGTGTTGTTGTGTTTTTTCATAATGCTGCTGCTGCTGTTGTTGTTGATTGCTCGATCAGTTGGCCAAAAACAAAAAAGAAAACCAAACACAAACAAAAACAGAAACAGAAACAGACAGAAAAGTGCGTACGAAATGAAAAACCTTGTGGTTGCATTTTGGGAAAACCTTTTAGCACTTTAGACAACACACAAAAATCACAACAAGTTGCGCAGACTTATCAGCAACACGTGTGTGATGAGTGAGTGTGTGAGAGAGATAGCGGGAGAAAGGGAGAGGGAGAGTGTGTGTGTGTGTGTTACACAAACAGCGAAACGCGCGTGCGTAGCAGCCTCGACACCTCCAGCAATGCGGTAGTAGTTGGAAGGCCGAACAGCGAAGGACGGGCGGCAACTCTTGAAAGGAAGTGTCATGTACGTGAGGTATGCGCGTATGTGTGTGTGTGTGTGTGCGAGATAGCGTTCTCTTATCTGATGCACGGGCGCAGGCGCAGGACGCTGCGGTTCCCGAGCGCGACTGTAGATAACAAAGAGGTGATAATTGACCGCCCTATTTGGCTTAGCAACCAATTACGAAACTTATCGGGCGCGGCGATCAAATCAAATCAAACAGTCACTCAGTCGGAGGACAACGTTGGTGGTCCACTAAATCGTTTAAACAAGAGCAATGGATGCGCAAACCCAAACCCTCACACACACACAAGTGTGAAAATGTGTGGGTGGAAACAAAAATGGAGCAAAAGAGTGTGGGACAGAGAGAGAGAGAGAGAGAGAGAGAGAGAGAGTGCCTTATCAGCTGTTTAGGTGGCAGGCACATTGCTGACACTTTCTGCGCTCTGTGTCTGACGCAGCACGTCCTGGTCGTAGGCATGCACCAGCAATGCCACCTCCAGATTCAGCTGCGCAATGTCGTCCTTGAGCTTCGCAATCGCCTTCTTGATTTGCTGCACTGAGCCTGCAAAGAAGAGGACAGAAGCAAATTATTAATGCAGTCAGACATGCAAAAAGCTTAAACATAACTTTACAAATCGCCTTTGAAAAACAATTGCTAAGAAGTTTTTTTGTAGCAGAAAAGGAATTTATATTAATGTGCAAACAACTTGCACAGAAATGTTGCCAAAAAAGGAGGTTATAATCTAAGTCATATATAGTTTTAAAACTTGACAAATTATTTGCCGGCTTGGCCAAATCTAAGTGTTAAGCCAGACTAGCTATGAAGAGCTACAAATAAATCAATAATTTACTTATGAAACAGTCTTTTGCGACTCCGTGCTAAAAAGTAATCAACGAATAGTTCACTACATCAGAGTCGCCTCTAGTGTCTAAAATTATTTAATAGAAGTGATAATGAATGAAGTAAGTATAGAAATGAAGTGGAAATTTTAAAGTGCCTAGAAATAGTGCCTATGGAATGCCTAGTGCATAGACAGGCTCTGACTTTCCTCTGACATTCTTCAACCACTCTATTCTATTGAATTCTTGCAATAACTGCGGGTGAGTATCTAATACCTTTGCTAACAAATAATTGAGGAATAGTACATTTTGTATTATTTAAAATTTCCACTTCATTTATATACTTTCTTTATTCATGTCCTATTTATCACTTTTATTAAATCATTTTATTTATTTGAAGAAACTTAGGACTAGCTACAATATTTGGTGAACCTAAACGAAATTATCATAGAGTCATAGAGTCATTTACTTATATTTTAACAATTCTATATTTAAATTATTATAATTATAATAACCACATAATATTATTAATAATGCAGTCAAAAAAATTGACCCAGAACCTGGAGCTTCATCATGTAGATATTTTTATAAAAGTACCAAAAATATAACAAATCATTATGTCATATATAATTATTTATTAAATAAAAATGTAAATAAATAATTCAACTACCATATAGGAGTATATAGAACCTGCTTTCCATCCTGAAATAACCACCTCAATGTACCTTAAGGGCAATATTATTATATCCTACTCGTATATCTTCAATGGGAATATAATTACAAACATTAATTGTCATTGATTACTTCCTAATACTGTAAAGAAATGTTACTGTAAAAATTAATGATACATCTTAGATTAAATCTCTTAGCTTCCTGCATCTCCGTAGCTAAAATTCATATTTATCTGGCCACAAAAGCTCTCTACAAAAGCTGAATCGAAGGATATAATAAGATGTAAGAAAAGTCAACTCCGAACTAATATTTGCTTTCGCACTTTTACCCAAAAAGGGGTCGAAATTCTGAAAACGAAAACTAGATCACCCGGAAAGGAGCTACGAGTATTATTATTATTATAAATATATTAAAGCCAAAGCCGTTCTCTTTCTTAAAAGTGCTTCCTATGATATGCTCAAAGTAATACATTTTCTAAAAAATAGTTATACGCTAAAAAGTAAATTAACGTGAATTTTACAAAAAAAAATTTAATTTTTAAAATTTGCAAATAATAAACAAAATTTGACAATTCAATATTTAACGAAATGACTCGCTTGGCTCTGGATCTGAGCACGAAATAAATAATATATTTTATACATAAACCTGTCTATTACTTTGTAAGTTAGACTTTAAATTTCCAAAAAGGTATTAATATCCCCCATCTCTTTCTCAAATCAACCAATTTTCTCAGATAATAATATACCCGTAATTCCGGAGCAAAGTTAAGAAATTTGTTAACCACATCTAAATTTTTTAACGCGTTAGAATTTTGTTTTTTTTAAATGTATTTCACTCACTTCCATCGGACATGACTTGGCCACGTCTCTCCATCTCCTCCTTCCGCATGTCCTGTTCGGCCTGCACCTCATTAAGTTGCTCCAATTGCCGGGCCGTATCTTCCTGCACCTGAGTCTGAGCATATTGCACGCTGGAGAGTTCTATGGACACGTCCTTGTACTGCTTAATAAGCGGCTGCAGCTCATTATTCAAATGCTTCTCGCGGCTCTCGATCTTGTCCAGACTGAAGGTGAACTCGCTATGCAGCTTCTTTAGCTGCGTCTGCGTGGTTTCCGCAATCTCGGCAATGTTGCTCTTCAGTGTCTCCATTTGGCTGAGATGTGTGCGCCAGTCCCGTGCATCTGCTTTGACGACAACCTTCAGTTGTTGCAGGACATGTTCCAGCTCCAGACGCCACTCCTGATGGTCTGTGAGGCGGGAGTTGAGCTCCCTTGTTTGCTCCTCCGTGGCTGCCATGTCGCTTATCGAACGCTTCTGTTGACGATTCAGCCAATTCAGTTGCTTGAAATTGTGGGCCTCCAACTCCATGTCGCTGTCATCGCTCAGAGCGGCAGCGTTCTGCTCATCCTCGAGTTTCTCAAGTATTATTTCGGCATTATCCTCCAGGTAATCGCCCACAAATTCCTCCTCTTGTGCAATGTTCAGATGTTGATAGGCCAGCTACAGAGAAATTCGTGAATAATTCTAATGCTTTTACGTTTTTCAATCCTTGAGGACTCTACCTGAGTGACCTTCAGAGCCTGCGTGGCTAAGCGGTCGAGCACCATCAGACATATGGGACCAGCGCCACGTATAAGCTTGTTGGGTTGGAAATCCACAGGCACGTCCTGCGCAAATCACATAAAACTCCAGTTCATTTCTTTAAGCATCGCTCATTTACTTACAATCTCCTCAAGGATTTGTATAATTTTCGCTATAACCGTATTGGGATCATCAAATTCCTGTGGTCTCTCCATATCCTTACCGAGTTTCTTGCACAGCCACCAGCATATCAATGTGAACATAAAGAACTGCTCACCTGGATTTACAGACTTCACAAAATAGAAACGTGACAGTGGCTTCAATTTGAACTCGCGTAGTAAATGTTTTTCATAATTTAGCAACTTTAACTTTTCCAGCAAGTCATCCGACTGAAAACTAAGCAATTGTTGCACTTTTTCCTTTGCCGCAGCCTCTGTATCTTCCTGTGCCATTTTTAAAATAAATTTTTCTTATAAATCCTTTAAATATTTAAGTTCTATGGTTTGTTATTATTTGTTTGGCCGGCATGTTGTCTTGGCAACATGCAGAGGGAAATAAAAATAGCGCACGCGCAAGAGAACGGTTAATATTATTCCATAAATAAACAATATACAACTGCATTTAGTTGCCAAGAGTATTAATTATATTACTAAAATAGCCTATTTAAAAAAGATAAATGCAAGATTTGAAAAAACGATCCTGCTCTCATTTTGACCGCTAGATGGCTAAAGGTATTAAACGGTTAATAAGACTCTCGATAGGCAATATCATATCATCAGTGCTACCACTACCTGGATAATTGTTTTTGCCGCGAGATGGCACCACTATAACTTCCAGCGGGTATTTTCTGCGTTTTCGGTCTGTTCACACCACTCTATAAACTAGAATATTTAGCGATTATTGTGCTTTTAAAATATTTAAATAAGATGTCTAAAAGACAAGTGAACAACAGTGAAGGGCCTTTAATTATTACGGGTTTTCATTACCACTAGATGGTGAATAAGATAAAAACCGTGAGTAGTGCGTGAACAAGAATCGATAACAACTATTTTTTAAAGGTAGCAGTAGAGCTAATATTGTTTAGTTGGTATGTGTAGTTAGTCGTTCGTTTTTCCGCGGAACGAACTACTCGTTCTTTTAGATCCTTTAGTTTGTTGGGTCGTTAAGTTTTCTTATTTCGTTCCCTCGTTAGTTTTGTTCATTCAGTGGTTTAGTTCATTCCCAACTTTAATATTTTATTCTGTTCTTCAAAATGTCAGCATAAGTTTCTTTAAAACGTAGAACTTTTCCGCAGGGTGGCAGACGCAATTATAAAAAAAATGTGGACCAATTAAGCGGACACATTTATATATACGCATTAACATGTTTTCATTTCTTAAATTCAAAATGTTATCCTTGCATTGCACTGATATTTCTCAAACAGTACTGAATAACTCTGTCATATAGGCATATTTGCGCATATTCCAAACCATCTAATGGAAGCGCCACCCAATCGTAAGATCCTCCTTTTCGCGTGAAAAGGAACTAAAACGATAGACCTTTGTAGTTCAGATGCGCGTTTTGGAACTAGTTCATGTTGAACCACCAACGAATCAGCTCAAGTTGGCAGCGCTATTACTAAAAACAACAACCCTGCCCAAGCGATGAACACACAAACAGTTTTCAAATACTAGCGCCTTTCTACAACATATTTCAATTCGGTTTACCAACAGTACAAATATGGACCATAAATTGGATCTCAGCGCTCTAAACATCGATGATATTGTGGAGGAGTACAAAATTCTGTTCGATCGTCATGAGCAGCTAAAGCTAAAAACCGAGGATGATGCTCAAAAAATTCATCAGCTAAAACGCTCCCTAGACACGGCGCTTGCAGCGGAGGCGTATCTGACCCATGAGCTGGAACAGGTCAGTGCGCAGTCACAGAATGCAACTTCTGCCGAATCTCCGCGTGCCAAGCAGAAGATCGATGATATGCAACGCAAGTACAACGATCTGCAAAAGGAGCACGAGACCCTGCAGCTGGACTATGACGCGAAGGTGGAGGAGACGGTGGCGCTGAGAGGCAAGCTGGAGGCCGCCGAGCGTGACATGGCAGCTAATGCTGCCCTTAAGGTCAATCATGTGTTGGACAATGCGACACGACTGCATGTCCTGGAGGAGGAAAACGCGGAGCTAATGCAAAAACTGGAAAAGTTCCAGGAGGCGACTGTTCAGCACACGCTTGCCGTGGCCGAAAAGGAGGTAAGGACTTATAGTCTTATCACAAATGGCTCTTTCAAACTATATTCTGTTAATAGAGGACCATTGAGATTCTGCGGGATCAGGCGAGCTGCTTGGAGGAGAATTTGGCCTGCAAACGAAACGAGCTGGAGGAGAAGCTGCAAATGCTAGAAAGCGCGCAGGAACAACTGATCGAGGCGAATGCCAAAATAGCCATGTTGAGCACGGCACCCGAGGAAAGTGGTACGAAAACTGAAATTTCTCCCAATCCAATTCCATGATAATTTTGTTGTTTTTTTTTTTTTCCAGCTCGCAAAGGGAACTCGCTGTTTGCTGAGGTTGACGATCAGCGTCAAGTGATGAAGCAGATGCTGGCTGACCAGAAGAAGAGTTATCTGCAAATGAAGAAAGTCTTCAACGAGAGCCAATACGAGATTCATCGTCTCAAGCGTGAAAACATTGCCATGCATACGGAATTGCAGGCATGCAGCACCATCTTCTGCAGCGCTGACAGGACTCTACAGAGTGGGTGGCAAACATTTATTGATTTAAGCACACTAATCTAATCTGACTCCTCCACAGACAAGCTGCGCGAACGAATTCGCCATTTGCTAAGCGAAAACGACATGCTCGAACGCAAATTAAACGTCACACAGGAGCGTCTGCGGGAGTTGGCCAACGAGAAATCCGTCATCTGGCTGGATTCCATGCTAGATTTCTGCAAGTATGCGTCTCAATGGGGCATCAATTGTTTAAAACATCTGCTAGCAATGCTCAGCACACAAATGCTAAGCCTAACAAGCTACAAATATATGATATTGTGATCGAAAATGTCTACATTTCGAACGAATTGCTAGTCGATTAAACAGCCAAACCTTTTGCACGTTAGTTTATATTCTAGCACTTAAGCATACCCAACATTGCATTCCTTCATTTAGGCGTGAAACGGATGAGCTGAAAACCCAATTGCGCAGCACACGCATACAGAACGCCGGCCTGGAGGAGGAAGTTCGCAAAACACAGCAGAACATGGTGCGGTAAGTAAACTGGAAAACTATTTATTAAGATTCTAATACCCTTTTAAACACCAATACTACTATTTGAATTCTATTTTATACTTAAAACGTTTTACTAAACCCCCGCTTTTTTTCTTAATCCATCAGTTGGCGTTTTGAATCATTGAGATCGCGCTGCGTGGTTATCGACCGCGAGAATCTCTTGACGGAGCACAAGATCAGCTTTAAACCTATGCAGGCCATGGAATTTAATATTAAGGAAGCTGAACTGGAAACAGCATTGCCGCGTATAATGAACGCAGACAGCGCCAAGAACGAAGCTCTGCCAGGTGAATCTACAATGAACAGTCCAGCTACAAATGCTCCGAATGTCATAGCCGAGCCACAGAAATCTCCAGAGGCGGCAAAGCCCAACAAAAAGGGTACACCCGTGAAAGTTAGGCAGGCGCCAGAGCTGTGTGCCTTGCCCGCGAAACACACGCCTTGCAAAACAGAGCCTGCACAAATTTCAGAGGTCATCAAAGATTTGGACACACCCCAAGCAAAAGGAGATGAGAGTGGTACTCCTATATGCAGCCTTATAAGAGTCAAGGACGAAAAGGAACTACAATCAATGCCACACCAACAAACTGTATCCAAAACAGAGGCCATCCCTGATGGCATTAAAGAAGAAATTGTTTCAGAGCCAGATGTCAGCAGTATAATGGCTGCGAAGCCCAATCGCAAGGGCACACCCATCAAGTTATCAGATTTCAAAGCCTCGATTGAAGATAGCACGGACTCAGATGCAAGCTCGCCAACACCGCCGAAGCCTCAACGCAAGGGAACCCCCGTAAAGGCCAAGAAAGACAAAAATACAGATGATATAGAACCTGCTAAGCCACAACGCAAGGGCACTCCAGTAAAGGCGCTCTTTTCTGCATCATCGAATTCAAATGTGCGCTCCATTCTGCAAAGTAAGCAGCGGGACTTGTTTGACGAGGAGCCGAAGAAAAATGTGAAATTCAGCAACAAGGAGCCTACCGTTCATAATATAAGTCCGATCGTACCCTTGCCAGATAAGGAAGTAACCGAACTCAGCAAGGAGAACCAAAAACCAATCGCAATGAAACCAAAATCAAAGGGCATCATCAGACACATTGTGGTGGGAGCTAGAAAACCCAACCCTGGTTCCTTAAAATAAGTGCAAAACAATGTTAAAATCGATTATAAAAGTGTTAGTATAAGCATGAAACTTCTTAATAATGTTTACTCTATATCACGAAAAATGCTTTAATACTCAGAGAATCCACACAAATCGCACTTCTCTTTTATTTAAAATGAATAACAAACCAAGTACAGAATTGACATCATGATTTATCTTGCCATTAAAGAAATAAGTCTATTAAATACATTTTATTACTTTTTTTTTATCATGACCCGCCTGAGTGGAACGCCTGGTTCACAAGCTAAAGCTTCCGGATATAGGTTGTGCTGTTGGGGAAATCAAACGAATAAAATAAACTCGTGTTGCCTAGGGATTAGGAGCGTCTACATACCATAGTTTGATTAATGTGAGCTCAGCCGTTTTCGAACTCCAGGCGTTCATCCAGACGGACGTTTTCACAATGAAAACCGCAAAACTCTAAAGAGTGAAAGAAATAAACTCATCGAGAGCTATGTTAGAAGCAATTGATTCAAGCTCGGAAACTTCTTTAATTTTATATTTCCCAATATTCTTATTATTCTTTCTTAGTAATAGTTTATTTTATTTCTGGATCGTGTAACCAAAAAATATATAAAAGGAACTGAGAAGAACAATTTATTATTGATGAAAAATAGATTGACAAATGTACGTCTTTATAATCCGTACCTTACAGGTACAGGAGTATATTAGGTTTGCGTTAAGTGTAAAATATAACAGGCAAAATAAGGAGGCAAGGAGGCAAACCCTATAAAGTATATATATTCTTGATCAACATAAGAAGCCGACTCTATTTAACCCTGTGTGTCCGTCAGTCCGTACGAATACCTAGATCTCCGAGGCTATAAGAACTTGAGACACCAAGTTTTCCACACAGATTTCCTAGAGCAGTACAAAAGTACAGGTGTATTATTGTATCCATAAGTCCAGTAATTATAGGAATTTAAAACTCAAATTCTAGCATATCTAGCATAGACACAATTCCGATGTAAATATACTGACATAAACCCGATCAACCCATTTGCTATTAAAATTGCGTTAATTTTTAAATTAAAATGTTCTTAATTTCTACAACAGTTGTACACATAGGTAGAGAGTATTTCAAAATCGGAGCACGACTTTAACTTTTCCACCGCTTTTTAATACAATACCTTCAAAATATTAATTGAAAATTGTCATTTGGCTTCCTCGATCGAGTCGGTGTGTGGATTTATTCTAAATATTTAGTAGGCCTATCACAATGTTTCGTAACAAATCTTTTATGAATCGGTTAGAGTTGAACTAATTTTTTTTGGTAAACGAATGTAAAACTATCGTTTTAAAAATTTTCTGTTGGCAAAAAGAGCGCACAAATTTTTTAAAGTGCATAAAAAACAAATAACCAGCAAAATTTACGTAGATGCTAATTCAGACGATTACCGCGTATATGGAGTCAATGGATCAAAGTTGTGACTTGGAGAAGCCATCGGAACGGGGCGACGAGGCCACTGAGAACACCAGCTATCTGAGCCTGCAGGCTCAGCGCAATGCCAACACTCTGCCGACCCCCTCGCCGGCGACCAGCCTGACTCTGGTCAATTCTGGCAGTGCCGAGAATAGCAGCCTCAAGCGGGGCAAGTCCGACGACGACGACGAGGACGATGAGGAATTGAGACTCAGTTGTGGCGACATCGACGACAATGAGCTGCGACTGAGGACGGGGCGTGAGGGGCGTGCACACAAGAAATTGCTGAAACAGGGAGTCCAACGCGCCCACATCAAGTCCCACAAGATTGGCGAGAAGCTCAAGGAGGAGCTCACGAAGTATAAGCAGGAATTGAAGGAGTACAATGAGACTACCAAGGAGCTGGAGGAGAAGTATATGAAAATCAATTATGAGCTGAGCGAAATGCAGCAGAAACACGACCATTTTGTGGCCACACGCGCCCACAGCTCCGATGTGGAGAGTGAGGCCGATGGAGGGCGATACTATGCCAGCTCCACCAGCCTCACCTCCAACATGTCGGTGCCGACTAGTCAGGGTGCCAAGGTGTTCAGTCGCAGCAGCAGCTTCATGACCGTACTGGAAGCAGAAAGCTCCTGTGACCAGATAACCAAGCGAGAACTGAATTACAATGGCAAGAGCAAGAGCAAGACCAAGAGCTGTCTATCGGCTCAGGTGCGAAGCGTCTACAGCAAGCATATTGTTGAGACTCTGGCTAATCGACAGGCCCAGCGACGCAAGCGTTCCATGCTCGGCGACGATCTGGAGAATAAGGATGCGGCCTTGACACAAAATACATCGCAATACAAGGAGGTGTACCATCATCATGTGCTCAAGGATGTGATAAACACGCCGCAGGATCACAAGCACAAGCACGAACGCGACACGGGCGAAATAACCCAACTCTATTCCGCACTCAAGAATCTGAAGAGCGAACAGGTGCAGTATCGGAGCATTATTAGACAGCAACAGGATCGCATTTCCGACTATCACACACGCTGTGTCAAAGCCCAGGAGATCATGAAGACACAGAAGCATGAGATCGACAAGCTCAATGTGAATAACAAGCAATTGGAAAATAGCATCTATCAGGATTTTGACGATTTACGCACCAAGATCGACGCCAAGCTAAAGAGCATCTCCCATTTGCCACAACTGATGCGCGAGGAGCACAGCAAGTATGAGAAGGTGATGCGGGAGAATTGCTTGCTGGTGGAGAAACTGCGCAGCCTCCAAGAGGAGGCCTCGCAGCTCAAAATCAAGATCGATGAGCTGGGCCGGCGCAAACTGGTCACAATCAATCGTCTCAAAGCCGCAGAGAGAGACTTAAAAATTTTTAAAAACTACAATTCGGCCCTCAAGTCCGAGAAGCGTCGCATGGCCGAAGAATTGGCCACCATGAAGGAGCAATTGAATGGACTGCAGGCCACCAACAAGAGGCAATTGACGCGTCATCGCGATCAGAGCGAGAAGCAGCGTCGCGAACTCCAGAAACGCATCTTCGACCTGGAACTGAAGCTGAGTCGCAGCCAGAATTCGACGGCGAGCCTAATACAGGAGCGCGACAGTCTCATTGCCGAGCTGCAGACACAGCTCCACACGCTGGTGCACAACTTTGAGGTCTCCCAGAAGCACATACGGGTGCTTCGTCGCCACATCTACTCGATGACATCTTCCGGTGGCGCTACTGGCATTCCCAATGCACCGCCCGGCTCCCAGCGCAGTAGCGAGGCTGGTATCGGACGGGCAAATCAACTGGCTGCTGGGTCGAGCGCGTCCAGGCTCGGCAATCCTCGCACGCTGAAGACTAAGGCATAGGCGCTGACTGACCTGATTCAGTCAGCGGTTTAGGCAACTTGGAGATACGGCCAGCTTACCAATTATGGCCATCTCTGGGCCGGAGCTGTACCTTATGATCAAGTTGCTTGGACGTTATGTTATTATTTACTGTCTGGATTCTGTGATCTGGTAATTGCAAATTAATTGTGTGTTTTAACTGGGTTTTGTAAATAAAATTAATGGTAAAGAAATGAGTTTTACAATGCGAGAAGGATGGTTAGCCCGAGAAACTGGCTCCCACGAAAGCTACAATTTTAAATTGCCAAAAATCTTCATTTCTCCTCATATGACAGTTGCAGGATGTATTGTTTTTAGAACTATTTATAAGGAAGCATGTTTTATTTTAATGTTTATGTTTTAAATTTTACTTTTTTTAATCTAAAAAAACAATTTGTTCTTTCTTTTACCTTTTATGTTGATTGGATGTGCTCTGCGTTTCGTTTATAATGACATTTTGTTAAAGTTTGTTCAAAATTGGTTTGAAAGTAAGATACAAATTGTATCTGAGTTATAGGGACTGTGAATAGCTCATGATGCATTAATACGAAATGGCTTATTTGTAAAATATAAGAAATTTGTTGCAAAATTATTTGTAACTTAAAAGGTGAATTTACAATTGAATTTATAAATTATAAGCGAAAAAATTATTCTAGGGTATAGAAACATATTATTTCATATGTATAGAAAAAGAATTCGGATCGGATTAATATAAATAAGAGCAAAGATGATGATAGCGGTCCAATTTAAGTGATATTCAAACTTTAAAATCAACCGGATAAAGTGGTCGGTCAGTCTGTGAGAAAAATAGCAGTCACTGCCATAACTACACTCTGAGATCGTGGAATGTGATTTTGCATCGATATTTCGTTTTCGCAGTAATAAATGGTAATAAATGCCTCTCATCTCTAATAAAAACAGATAAAAGGAGCCATAAATCGATGAGGACTATCGATAGACATTTAATAAGCATTTAATAATTGCGCCTAAAAGTTTCGTTATTACAACAATTACGAATTGATCAAAGGGTTCTCGTAATTAATGAATGTAAACACGAATAAAAGGCGATAAATCACAAGTAAGTATTAACTATAAGCCCTTTAAAATACGACACATGTATAAGAATAGAAGATGAAACAGTTATGCGTATGGAAAGTAGTTTACATATGTACATACATACATATATACCTTATATACAGATGTATGAACAGATGCACAACACGTGGCTCTTCTATTTATATATGTATGTATGTATGTATGTGTGGTGTTTGATTATGTTATTTAAGTGCCTTATTCGTTATCATTTGAATAAGGTTGGACAAATTAGTCGAATGGAGCCAAAACAAAAGAAGTCTGGCGGACGAAAGCGGGGAAAAAGAGGTAATGATAAGAAAAGAAAAATTGAGCGGCCTATTTCCAAAGCAACAGAAAAAAAACGTGAATCTAGATTTAAGGAACTCGCCAAAACTTTTCGATTTCCTGAAGCGGAAACAGGTTCGTGACTAAGTATTTGTTTCATGTTTCCATATGCTTTACGTATTTCTCTTGTAATTTTTGTAGTTTTCCAACAACCGCAAATTGAAAATGGAAGCCCTATCACTGTTCCAGAGCCCGGTAATTATCTGTCTATTGATCGTTAGCTCTAAAATTGTAGTTCACATAATTTTGGAACAGAAAAGAAAATCGCTTTACCACAAAGCATCTGCGCAAATCTTCCGAAAAATGCAAAAATTGTGGAAATCGAACTGGTTAACGACAGCCATGGCCTGGGATTTTCTTTCTTTATTAGTATCTTCGGCACTTTTGTGTCTTCTGTCCTTGATGGGGGAGTGGCCAAAAAGGATGGCAGGCTCTCCGTAGGAGACAAGTTGCTGGCTGTGTCCATTAATGGTGTAAGTAACAATCAACAACCTATATAAGTAAACAGTTTCTTTACCATACCATTCTGCAGACTCTCATGAACTTTCACAATTTGAATGAGGACGTTATTGTGTATATAATGCGTTCTATTACGAACAAAGTAACTTTAATTGTGGCCAGAGGAAGTCATTCAGTGAATAAAGCTTCAATGCCTGAATCGAAGGAAAAGCAACCTCAGCTACCAACGGCTGATTGGAGAGCGTGTTTCTTTGAGCAGAAAATGAAAGTCCTTAACTTGCAAACAGAACTTTCTAATCTAAAGACTTCTCTGGCAACAAGCATGAATTCAAATACGAGACCCGTTGCCAGTACGTTCTTTTAAACATCCTAATTGTGGTTGCAATTAGAGCTTGAATGCTTCCGGACAGCGCTAAAATTGACCAAAAATATGTCCCGAATTTTGTAAAAATGTACACAAAACAAGACTTAAATTGGAATTAGTGTTTACTTAAATGGAATACGACGCGATCTATATGTTAATGTTAAAAGTCGTTTGACTATTCAGATATCCTAATAAATTTGCAAAATGTAATTTTGATTACAAATTTGTATCTGCATTTTAAAACAATCCTACTAAATTCCTATTGGTCAATCGGATCACAAATGTTCCTTTCCGGATACAAATGATATTAGTTAGGGCGCTCAAAAAAACATTTTTCTTAATGCAAAATAATGACAGAAGTAGGGTTATTTCTACTTTTCAAAAGGTTTAGCTTTTGGACAGCTATGCTTTCTAAATAAAACCTCTAACGTTATATAATTATGATATCTTAAAGGGGAGCTGACAGAATTAAAAATTTGCAGCTTCTTTCTCCTGCCCTATGCATAATAAAGCTTTCCTTAACCAACTAATTAAAGACTCAGATTTCTGTTCATGTTTACATTCTTTAGCGATTCAAGTAGTTTAAGAGGTAACCAATTTTAACAAGGCAAATATTTTTAACATCATTTTTATCTTCAACAAAAACAATCCAAACTAAATCCATTTCTATTGAAATTTAGCGATATTCAGTGAACAATATCTCAGCCTAATTATATTTCTCCATTGTTTGCTTGCATGATTTAGAACTGATTGAAATCTTTATGTTTAATATGTCCAAACTCTGTAAAAAACAACTTGTATTCATTTGTTGGACAGTGTTATTAGTAAGACGACTGTAATATATAAACAATTGGAGTGCACACCTGATTCGATGTACTTACCGAGAATTTGTTTACATATAAACATTTTCCACAGCCACTTTGGAGCGTTCGGTGCGAAAAGTGAGGATGGGGCCGATGACAGCTGCCAAGAAGTGCGCATATAGGAAGCACTCAGAGAGAGAGAGAGTGTGTCCGATACGGCTAAATATAAAATCTCGAGCAGAAACTGAGAATTCACGAAGAAATACAAGAAACGGAATAATGAGAGAGTCGCCGACAGCGCTGAACGCAATGGGGGGCGTTTATATTGGAAATAAAAGAGGCGGCTGTTAAAGGTGCAAAGGTGATGACGACGACGCCACTGATTAACAAAAAAAATAAAAAAAATGGAAAAAATTATACAAAATCATTTTCCAAATGATTTTCCAATGTGAGGGCCATTCGCTCAGTTGAATTTTTGCAAGCGAAGCGTACGGGCCGAGTTGAAGCTGAAAGAATCGCACGCTTCAGTGGGCAGAAAGGCGGAAAATGATGACGCACTATGCTGGGGCTTGTCTACAACCGATTCGGCATCGGCTCTTTATGTTATTGTTGTCGCACGTGCTGCTTGTCACAGCGAACTGGGCAGATGACAATCCCGAGACGACCCCTGAGATTTGCGTCATACGCGCCACGCTCTTCATGACGCCACCAACGCCGCCACGCAGCTCCGAAGATTTCGGTCTGCCTATAGATATCAACTGTGAAAATAGGAGCCTGGAGAATTTGAGCGAAGCCGCCCGAGGCATTGGACTGCAGAGAATGGCGGGCAAGACGCATGTACTGTTGGATGGTAGCCAGACACCGCCACTGGGTGTGGCCAGCTATGGACTGGAGTTCCTGGACAATTGCCCGAGCTTGAAGAGCGTGCAGATCGAGCGATTTGTGGGCGACACCACCTTGGAGCTAAGCTGTGGGTTGGAACAGCTGCAGCAGCTGTTGGAAGTCAGTTTCCACAACAATGAGCTGAGCACGCTGAGTGGTCTGACTTTCCGGAACGTGCCACACCTGCAAAAACTACAGCTGGCGGGCAATTCCCTGCGCCATGCAGAACCACTGTTAGATTGTAAGGAGCTGTTGGACTTGAGCATCAAGCAGGAAAAGGAGCTCTTGCTATCCGACGGCAGTCTCTTTGGAAATTTGCCACAACTGCAGCGTTTACAGCTCCATAGTCTGAAACTAATACGCCCCAAACTTTTTGAGGCCCTGCCTGCCAATCTCAGTGAGCTCCGAGTGGAGGAAACCCCCATTGTGGAACGTCAAGTGTTCATTCAGAATGTCAGCCAACTGGTCAATGCATCCATTGTGCATTGCCAACTGCTGAGCTTTACTGCTTCCGCTCCAGCTCTACGGGTTCTGAATCTCAGCGGCAATTCGTTGGAACACTTGGAACTGCTTGGAGCGCCCAATTTGCTTTCACTAGACCTGAGTGAGAACACGCTGGAGACGTTAAATATTAGCTGGTTTGTGGCTTTAACTCAACTACAGCATCTGTATCTGCGAAAGAATCAGCTAAAGACGTTATCGCTCAGTCAGCTGCTGACGACTGCGCCGCACATTCTCCAGAGACTTGATCTGCGAGATAATCTGTTGCAGGCATTGCAAGAAACCCAGGAGCTGAGCTTGGAAAGTTTCCCACAACTGCGCGTACAAATCGATGGCAATGCCTGGAGCTGCCAATGGCTCCTCAACTTTACGCATGCGCAGCCACAAATGTTTCGTATATTTCAGTATGCCAAGTATATATCACAGATCAATGTGAATGGTCTCAGTTGTCAACCGCAACAGCCCGAACCTCCGGTGGATTCAATTATGAGTGATCCGCCACCAGCGACTGTGGATCACAGCGATCTGTCTTTGAATGAGACGCGTCCGAATGTTTCCACCTTTACCGTTTTATTCGGCAGCCCCGTCGAGCACAAACGCAGTCAACGCTCCGGAGCTCTCATCATTGTCTTCATGCTGCCCGTTGGAATCGCGGCGCTCTTCCTGCTTCTCTATCTGTATTTGCATTGTGAGCGTTTGTTCCATCTCTCCTATTATATGTCCAGCATGCATTGCTTCGGGAACAAATCCGAAGCTCCCAAACGTTTTGTGGACCATGTGGACGTAGTGCGTTATCCGGCAAGCAACGATAATGGAGATGTAGCGAAAGGCTTAAGCAGCGTTGAGGATCAGCAACCCGATGGCTATGAGACCCCGCTGACGGGTGCCGGGTCCATTTGCAATTGTGCGCATCGTCAGTCGAGTTGTTCCCGCAAACATCACGTGACTTACGAGACTTTGCCAACAGAGTTGCCTTACCAAGTGTATGCCGAGATCAAGGAAGATCCAGCCGATCCTTCGGAAGAAATTCATTTACCAACAGCACCCATTTACGATCACTTGTCGTTCGAGGAAAAACCATCACAATTGGATATATAAGCGAGTCAGCCAAAATGTTTAGCGGTAAGTTAGGTTTTATTTTTAAAACTAAGTTAAGATTTTTATTTTTAAAACTAATGAATTATCAATAACCTCAATTTTATTTCATTTGCAGGCAAGATTTACAAAACAATCATCAACAAATAAATCATCTTTCATAAATATGTATGTATATGGATTGTGCTTTTAAGCTGGAATGTCCGTTGAACTATTCCAATAATCGTGATTTGTTTTTACGGAAGATTGGCTACATAATGCTTAGAAGTTTCTAAGATTATAGACCCATTTTGTTTTTGTTGTATCGTGTGTAATTTAAACGAATAAGTGCTAATAATAAATTATTATATATACATTTTTAAATACAAGTACAATTTTTATGATGATGAAGAAGATGTTTTGGGATTTCTGTGGAAGCTTTTACAAGTATATTCCCCTTTCTAAAGGGAGTTACTTTAGTTTCTCTTAGTTAGTTGGGGATTTCTAGGCCTGTTTTGCGATTCACTGATAAAGTGGTTTCTTCACTAAGTATGTAATACGAAAGTCAACTCAAAAACTAGTTAGCTTTGGAAACTGACAGATTGTGCCGCTGTTTTGAAATGTTTTTCTCTTGAAGAGCAGGCCAATGAAATTTAGATCAAACTCACTTCGGGCGATTGATACATTTTTAGTTCATTTTATTTATTTAAGAAGTGAACAACAGATAAGACTGAAAAAAGCTGAAATTTTCCGTAATCAGTTGGAAAGTTATTGCAAAATTTCCATAGTATGTGCAAAAATTTATAGTTTGAAGACATAAAAATTAGAAAAACCCACAAAAAAATACCCATAAACTCACAATCAGCAATAGAAAATAGGTAGCGTTAAGCTCAGATACAATTTTAAGTGCAACTTTCAGACTAACGCGTAAATTCCACAATGGCTGAGACCGAATATACCGAGGGGGAGGAGTACGAAGATGACGAGATCATAGCAATGGACGAGGGCGCCCACATTGAGGAGGGCGGGATCGAAGACGATCTATTTTCTCGACTGGGCGAATCTTCTGATGACCCCGAACAGAAGCGCATGTACATGGAGTACTTGGCCCTGATCAAGGAGATCGATTGCCAGAACAAAATCATCGAGGACATCAAGTCCAACGTGATGGATATGTGCGGTAAGCCCTGTAAAACACGCAACGAGATGCGCGAGATTCGTCGTCTGCGCGTTTGCATGGAACAGGAGAACATCAAGTTGCACACCATGATGAATCGAGCGGTTCAGCTGCAGAATTTTGGATCACATCGTCACTATCGCGAACTGCCGCTGACCACCACAGTGGATGAGGACAACTTGTCGCCCTATCTCTGTGGCATTGGTGCCTGTGGGGTGGGAGGACCGGCTGGCAGTGCTGCCACCGAATGCAGCCAGGAGGAGCAGTCTAGTGGTTGCGGTCAAGAGGATCGCATGCTGCAAGCGCTCCAGAAGGCCATGTGCAAGATGAAGGGCGCCTGTCCGGAGGACAAGAAACTAATGGAGGAGATCGCCTGTGCCATTGCCTCCAGCAAAAAGAACAAAAATCAATGTAGTCCGGGCCCATGTCCTCCACCACCCTGCCCAGAGAGCAGCAGCAGCGCTCCCTGTCCACCCAAGCGACCCTCAAGGCGTCCTTGCCCACAAAAGCATCGCAGCCCATGCGATTCGTCACCTTCACCACCATGTCCTCCGCCATGTCCCAAATCAGACTCGCTGGATAAGTTGAAGCGTCGCATTGTGGGCATGCAGTGTTCGGTGAAGAAACTTCTGCAGGAGGTGAATCGACGAGAGACGCAGGATCCCTGCGATGAGCCCACCGAGGATGAGGATCCGTGCGCTCGTCCCTGCCCACGGTCACCATGTCCCGAGGAGCCCGATCCATTGGTGGTGTGCGGCGGCAAGCGCAACACCAAGTCCGAAAAATATGAGAAGCTTAAGGAGAACTATACACGTCTGCTAACCGAATTCCAGCGCAAGGATTGCCAAATGAAGGAAATGGAAAAACGGTAAGTCCGAAAAACACAAAACAACTGTTTAAAGTAGAAAATCCAATTCCTTGATAACAGACCTATTCGAATATGTTCTCTTCTTAGCGAAAATCGTGGGTTCGATTCAAGCTGTTTACACTTTTCTTACATTTTATATTTGCTCCAATCTAGTTAATATTTTAGTTATCAGATTACTTCTTACAAGTTCCAAGATAAATACAATACATAAGAATGGCCAAAACTCAAGACTAATAAGTCTGGAATTTGTAATTCTATTTTTAAATCCAAGTATTTTTTATAACAACACTGAAAAATTGGGATCGGGATTAGATAACAACTTTTCCATTGAAATTTGAACAATTATTCTAATAACAAATGTTGTGAAGGTGCCTAGAAATGGAACTTCATAACTTTTTGAAGTTCTTTCTAAGACGAGAGTAATAAAGGACAAATAACCTAAAAAAACTTTACAAGATTTTCAAAATAAGAAAAATTGACACAAACAAAAATATTATCTAATTAATTAATATTCAATACGGCAAGTTACATAGAAATTTAATAATTAATTATTTAATAAGAAAAAGTCAGAAAATCTTTAACAGATAGGAAAAATAGGCCCCGAAAATGGGACATTTTTAAACTGTAGAATGACAGAGTTCTGTTAAAGGTAGCTAAGAAAGATCATTAATATCATCTTTCGAGAAATCATTTGAGCGAGCTATATCTGCCTAAGGAGAACTATACACAAATGTGTTATGACTACTTGTAACCAAAGGGTAAAAGGGTAACATGTAACGCACAGAACGATGACTCTATATACATATATATACGTGTTATACATTTTAATTTGATTAATTTCATTTCAAAGAAACGTCATTTAAAAATCATCTTAAAAAACTGTTTTATTTTTTTGTGGGTATCCCACTAAGGAGTTAAGCCCGTAAAAAACATAATTTAAAACTCATCTTAAAAGTCTATGTTATATTTGTTTGTGGGATACAGGGTGTTAAGGAGTTGAGCCCGCTCGGCTCTAACATTCCTTTCATGTTTCTATTAATGCGCTTCCGTTTTCGTTTTATAGCATGAAGGGAATTTGCGGCAGCTGTGGTCCCACTAAGGGCAATGGGGACGCCGACGCGGCCGAGCTGAATCTTCTGCGGGCTCGAGTCAACGAGCTCAAGGAGGAGCAGGCGGAGTTCAAGTGCATCATGAAGGAACAGTCCCAACAGCTCGAGGACTATCGCAACAAGTATCTGTTGGCGCAGCAGAAGGTGGAGGAGCAGTGTGTCTCGCTGGATAAACTGAACATGAACAACAAACGCATAGAGCAGCAAATTAACTCTGAAGTCAAGGAGATTCGTGCCAAGTTTCAGGAGAAACTCAATGAATTGCTGCATTTCCCGAAGCTGCTGGAGAACGAACAGCTGAAGCTGGCACAGGTGTGCAAGGAGAAGGATGATCTACAATCCAAGCTGGTGGTGGTCTGCAAGGAGCTGAAGTCGGTGAAGGCACAGTTGGAGGCGCCCGCCACAGTCGATGTACGTCCACAGCTAGCCCAATGCCAGCTGGAGTTGACCCAGGCACGTAACGAACTGGAGGAGCTGCTGCGACAACGCGATCTTTTCTGCGAACAGCTCAAGTCCACCCAAGACGATCTCGACACACTGCGCACTGAGTCGGCAAAGATTATAGCCGGCACCAAGGAGCGCGCCGAACTCATCAAATCGCAGCAACAGGAACAGATCAATCGCCTGGAGAAGGAGCTGGCACAGTGCCGTGCCACCGCCTCACTGTCGGTCAACGATCGCGAGGCAGTCATACGTGAAATGCAGGGCCAACTCAATACCCTCTCGTACAGCTTCGATGCGGCCCAGAAGCAAATCAAAACCCTGCGCAATCACATTGCCTATGTATCCAATGAGAATTGTTTCCCGGTGAAGTGTTAGGAGCCCTGAAACGGGTTCCCAGAGCGGCAGAATAACTAAGATCTGATCTGGTTTGTCAAACCCAAAACAACTGCTGAGTGCTCCAGACGCGTGTGCCCGCCGCCGAAGGCCAATTGAATATTGTCCGTTCGGTTGGTTCTATTTAAGATTATAATTTATATATTGTTGGTAGTTAAATACATATAACATTATGGCTCACAAAAAGTTATTCGTTTTAAAATTTAAGACATCTAGTTTTGAGTTTTGAGAAGTTGATAAACCGATCTTTAAGCGACAATTCAGAAAATCTCTGCCCAAGGAGTCAATTCCCTATCAGATGGAATCTCTCCAAAACAGGAAGGCTGGAGAATACCAAGAAAGCTCTTCATATTTCGCTGAAAACTGAAAAATAAGCCTTGACAGAAAAACTTCAGCAATTAAGAGAATGAAAGTAATTTCCAATTAGTAGGATATTTTTAGATTTTAGCGGAAGCAGGCAGGAAGCTCTCTAGAACTAGCTGACAAATGTCCAAAATTATTTTGAATTTAAAGAAAACTCCCAGCAATTAGTAGAAATAGCTTTTCAATTATGGACGAAAACAATTTCGAATGCCAGACTTTCAGAATAGCTCCTCAAAACTATTTGAAAACTGTCCAAAATAAAGTTCAAGCTCTGCGGAATTCACAGAAAACTCTTAACAGCTAGCGAAAAGCTCTCCTTAACTTGTATTCGTATTTAGGCTCCTGTCTCCAAAAAAATGATTCAAATAATTTCCCTAAATTGTTTGCTTCGAATTGAATGTTTTCATAGCAAATTATTTCTATACCTTGAAAACATAAAAGATGAACTACTTTTACGCTGAAAAAGAGGAACACAATTTATGTTAAAAGACGAAATTAAAGTTTTTGTCGCTCCAATAGGAAAACAAATAAATATTGCTTTATTCGACCTGATTTAGGAATACAACTACTGAAGATGATTTATGAAGCGGGCGCGACAATTGGTGGTGTTATTATGGCAAACAACGCAAAATTTAAAGCGACTTAACAGCTAGTCGCTTCATTTTAGGAGCATTCTTTTTGGCCTGACGCTTTTGCTCTTTCTGTTCCCAACGTCTTTGCTTTTCGGGATCCTCTTCGGCGAGCACACGTTCCTTTTCCTGCTTCCGCTTGTCCTCGCGCCGTTGAGCAGCAGCTTCGGCACGAGCAGCATGTGTGCTCTTCAGGAACTCCTCCTCGACACGCAAACGATTCTTGTCAGATTTGGCCTTGCCCTCCTTGGACATGCGATAAGTCTTCAAACGTTCCATCAAATAAAAGATTAACAATAACAATGGCTTAATGGTCTCCATCTCCGCATGCTTCGGCAAATTGAAGCCAGCGAGCAGCATGCACTTGGTCTCGGGCTGCTTCAGTGTGGTGCCCTCTTCCTGCTGGACGAGTCCACTGAACTGATCCGAAATGTGCAGGTAATCGATATAGCTTTGGTATTTATTGAGTGCAGTTATAACACGTGATTCGAGTATTGCGGACGTGGCCTCAGGCACTTCGGAGAGCACGCCAAAGCCAGAGGGCAAGTTATAGCGATCCTCCGGCTTTGAGACTAGACTACAGAATTTGCTCTGCAAATAATGCGATACATTAACAAATGTCCAAGTGGATTGAATTGCAAGCAACTGCTTACCAGATCGGCATACTCCTTAAAGACCTTGGTAATCGTCTTCTTCGAGCCCACTGCAAATACGAATGCATCCATTACGCCACGCGTCAATTCGATTTTGATATGAACCTGATCCAATTGTGGACGCATGAGACCCGCAACTAGCGACACCACATCCTGACGCTTGATCATTTTCAGCTCAACCAGCATACCCTCGCAGCAGGTACGGCCGGAGCACCACAATGTGTACAGACTCTCGCTCTCCTTCATCAGGCCGGGACTTTCGTTCTCCTGCTTTCCATCATCCCCGACAAGAGCAAAGTTCTCGTCGAGCAGTGCTTTGTGCGTACTAAACCAGAGCTGTGCCAAGCGAGCATTCTTCGCCTTGCCCGCAAAGAAATTACTAAAGTAGGCCAACAGACCGGCAATCATTAGCATCTCCATCCAATAGGAATCCCAATGGGTGCGGAAGTGCAATGGCAAGTTGGGTATATTCAGCTTTGGCTCCGTCTTCTGATCAGTCGCCACTGGCTTCTCACCGCCTTCGTAGCCCTCGAATTCCTCTTCATCCTGGAAGTGCTCAAATTCGTCATCGTCCTCCACGACGCCATCTTCCTCATCACTGTCTTGCAGCACAGCCTTGCGTGATGGCTCTGCCTTCTCGACGTTAGCGCCTCCTGGAGTCGCCGCCCTCGCCTCTGCATCCTCGGACGACGGCATAGTGTCAAATGTGGCATCGACAAACTCGTCATCAAACTATATACAAAATTACAAATTTGGGTAACTCTCGAATTTTTGGGGTTATGCCACTTACAAAGTCTGCGAAGTCATCGTCGGTCGATTGGAAATCCACATCTGCGGCGCTAGCACCGCTCAGCTGACCAGCGAGGCAAAAAATTGCCAGTAGAAAAAAAGTGAAAATTGGCCGCATTTTTAATAAACTAATACTTGAACCTCGCGCAAATCGAGGTATTATCGACTATTTTAATAATTTATTGTAACGAAACTTTTTACGTAGCTAAAATTTACTTAACTATTCTATATCTATTTCTTTCCACTTAATTAGTAAATGTAGGTTAGTTGAATTTATAACTAGAGATGTGCTTAAAATTTAAGGAGTGTTCGCACATTGACAAAACTGAGTTTGTTCGCTTAGTTTCCCTCAAGAATTTTAGCATTAAATTATATAATTGCTTATACAAATGCAGTATATTTTATTTCAAAATGTAATTTAACATAGCTAGTAAGACATGTGAATGAAAAACCAGCGGCAAATGACTAACAAGCCTAACTACAGAAATTCATTTGTTACATTTCTTGAAACCTAAAGTTTCTTGTGCTGCTATCGATAGTTGCACAACAGTTGAGCATCGTTGAACGACACGTGTTTGTTTGAATTGTGAACGTTGAAGTAAGAAGAGGAAGCAGCTGTCTTTTGATCCGAAGCCGCTTATTTGGGTGGTAAACACGTTGCACTTTCCGGGGAATTTGTTACAATTCGCAGTCAGTAGTCGTTTGACAAAATTTGAAAAGAATAAAACATACAATGGTAAGTGAAGATGAATAACAAAAACATAAACTCAGCTGCAACAAGATTGTAAATATTGTAAAATAGAGCTGATGTTATGGTTGGTAAAGAATAACCAAATGTGGGCTCCAACAACTACAATACATGCAATGTAAATATTGTCAATGCTGATGCAATAGTTAGAGTTGTTTACCAAAGTACCCGTTTTATTTTAATGCCGCAGGCCAATGTGGAGCGCAAAGGCACCTTTAAGGTGGAATATCTACAGAAAATCGAGCGCGAGGTGCAACAGCGTTGGGAATCGGAGCACTTGCACGAAACTGATGCGCCCATCGAACCAAAGCAGCGTCAGGATGAAAAGTTCTTTGTGACATTTCCCTTTCCCTATATGAATGGTCGCCTGCATTTGGGTCACACCTTTTCGCTGTCGAAGGCTGAATACGCGGTGCGCTATCATCGGCTGAAGGGACGTCGTGTGCTTTGGCCCTTTGGCTTCCATTGTACCGGCATGCCCATCAAGGCCTGCTCCGACAAGCTGAAGCGCGAGCTGGAACAGTTCGGCTATCCGCCCAAGTTTCCTGAGACAGTGGATGAGGTACCCGCCGCTGCTGATGGTCCGTCCGAGGTGCCAAAGGACAAGTCCAAAGGCAAAAAGAGCAAGGCTGTAGCCAAGACGGGCGCCGCAAAGTATCAGTGGCAGATTATGCAGAGTTTGGGTTTGAAAGACGAGGAAATCAAACAGTTCGCCGACAGCGAGCACTGGCTGAACTATTTTCCACCGCTGGCTGTGCAGGATTTGAAGCGTATTGGCGCGCACATCGATTGGCGTCGCACATTCATCACCACGGATGCGAATCCCTACTTTGATTCGTTTGTGCGCTGGCAGTTCAATCACCTGAAGAACCGTGGCAAGATCATGTATGGCAAACGTCATACGATCTACTCGCCAAAGGATGGACAACCGTGCATGGATCACGATCGTTCCACAGGCGAGGGTGTGGGCCCGCAGGAATATACGCTGATCAAAATGAAGGTTCTGCAAGCGCCCAAGGAATTGAGGTGAGTTAGCAACTATATAATCGTATTATTGGTTATTTAATTGGCTTCTTATATGTAGTGCCATCAAGCAACCCATTTACTTGGTGGCGGCCACACTGCGTCCAGAAACCATGTACGGTCAAACCAATTGTTGGCTGCATCCGGACATCAAGTACATTGCCTGGCAAACGACGCGTAACAATGAAGTGTGGATCAGCACTCGCCGAGCCGCACGAAATATGGCTTATCAGGGCTTCACGCCAGAGGAGGGTAATGTGGTGGTGTTGGCTGAGCTGACTGGCCAGCAATTGTTTGGCGTGCCTCTGTCGACTCCTTTGACATCGCAGAAAATAATCTACACTCTGCCTATGCTGTCCATTAAGGAGGACAAGGGTACAGGCGTCGTCACTTCAGTGCCTTCGGATTCGCCCGATGATTATGCGGCTCTGGTTGATTTGCAAAAGAAGGAGGCCTTCCGTCAAAAGTATGGACTCAAGGATGAGATGGTGCTGCCCTACGAGCCCATACCCATTATCGATGTGCCCACGCTTGGAAAATTATGCGCAGTGCATGCCTACGAAACACTGAAGATACAATCGCAAAACGATAAGGACAAACTTGCTGAGGCCAAAGAGCTGTGCTACCTGAAGAGTAAGTTGAAAAATAGCAGCTAATGAGTCGTTTTTTCAAATTTATTGTGTTTACTTAGGTTTCTATGAGGGAGTGATGTTGGTGGGTGAATTCGCTGGCCGCAAGATTCAGGACATCAAGAAGGATTTGCAAAAGAAATTGATTGATGCGAAGGAGGGAGATATTTACTACGAGCCGGAGAAAACAATTATGTCGCGTTCAGCGGATGAATGTGTTGTAGCTCTTTGCAATCAATGGTATCTCAATTATGGCGAGCCCGTGTGGCAGGCCCAGGCTACTAAGATACTACAGGGGATGGAAACGTTCCATGAGGAGGCGCGCAACAATTTCGAGGCTTGCCTCAATTGGCTGCATGAGTATGCATGTTCGCGCACCTATGGTCTAGGCACCAAACTGCCTTGGGACGAGCAATGGCTAATCGAATCGCTCTCCGATTCGACCATTTATATGGCTTTCTATACGGTTGTGCATTTGCTGCAGGGCGGTACATTCCGCGGTGAAAAGTCCGGTCCCTTTGGTGGGTAGCATTACAATATTTTTTAAAATTTACATCTAACAAACGTTTGAAACTATATTTTTAGGTATCTCGCCCAAGGACATGACGCCCGAAGTGTGGGACTTTATTTTTTTCAAGGAAACACCCTATCCCAAGAGCTCGTCCATTAAGAAACCACATCTGGATGTGCTGCGTCGTGAATTTGAGTATTGGTATCCCATGGATTTGCGCGTCTCGGGCAAGGATCTTATCCAGAACCATTTGACATTCCTGTTGTACAATCACGCCGCTATTTGGCCCAATGATGACACTAAATGGCCGAAGGGTGTACGCGTAAACGGCCACTTGCTGCTGAACTCGGCCAAGATGTCCAAGTCTGACGGCAATTTCCTCACCTTACATGAAGCCATCGACAAATTTTCTGCTGATGGAATGCGTCTGTGTCTGGCCGATGCAGGAGATAGTGTGGAGGATGCCAATTTTGTGGAGAGCACCGCCGATGCTGGCATTTTGCGACTCTTCACCTTCATCGAGTGGGTGAAAGAGATGTTAGCGTCGCGTATTTCCTTGCGTAAGGGCGATCCGAATACATTTAACGACAAGGTCTTCATTAGCGAAATGAATTTGAAGACGCAGCAGACAGATGAGAACTACAAACGCATGCTCTTTAAGGAGGCATTGCGTTCGGGATTCTATGAGCTGCAGCTGGCGCGTGACAAGTATCGTGAGTTATGCGGCAATCAGGGCATGCACGAGCAATTGGTGCTGGAATTCATTCGACGCCAGGCTCTGCTTGTGGCACCCATTTGCCCGCACATGGCGGAACATGTGTGGGGTTTGTTGGGCAACAAGGACTCCATATTGCATGCTCGCTGGCCGGAAGTGGGAGCTATCAATGAACTGGACATCACATGCTCCGAGTATTTAATGGAAGCGGCGCATTCATTCCGCTTGAACTTGAAGAATATGCTGCAAGTGAAGGGCAAGGGCGGCAAGGATAAAGCTCTGGACACCCAGGCAGCAAAGCCGAATCGTGCCCTAGTCTGGGTCGCCAAAACATATCCACCCTGGCAATGCTGTGTGCTGAACACCATGCGAGACTTATACACCAAGGAGGGTCAACTGCCCGATAACAAAGTTATAGCAGCGACGCTGCAGCAGAAGCCCGAACTGAAAAAGTTCATGAAGCGTGTGATGCCTTTTGCACAAATGATACGTGAAAAGGTGGAGACGGGCGGAAAAGGTGTGGCAGCCCTAGCTGTTTCGGTGGAGTTCGACGAACGACAAGTACTGCTCAACAATCTGGATTATCTCAAAAATACTCTGGATGTAAGTATACAAAGTTAATTTGTTTAAATAGGTTAGGATTTATTAAGCTGGATTTCGAAGCTGAGTATTATTTAAGAAGAGGGTCTTTATCGTTGTCCTATGCTGGACTTTTGGACTTGATCTTATATCGCAACGGTTAAATTTATGATCTATTTGAGATTGAATTTTACTGTTTATCCTAAAATACTAGATAACCTATGAGTCAAACATTTAATCTTTCGGTGGTAGTGGCATGACTGTATTCTTCTTTTGCTCCAGCGCGTCAATTATCTCCGTAATCAGTATATTTTGGCCCTTCAGGGTTATATTAATCAAGTTGGCTTTAGTAAACTCCATGCGGGTCTTTCGCACGTGTAGGCCGAGTTCTTCGAGAAGCTATAGCGATATTTCCAATTTAGCGTTGCTGTACGAAAATATTTGAAATCTACTTACAGCAATATTTTTCCGCGAGCTTGCGTGCTGAAAAATGAAATTGAACAAATGTTACAGGTTAGTTAACACTAAAAGGATCATTATATTTATATTGACTGCTTACGTCTTCAAAAGAGTCGATGGAATGCTCCATGGTAGAAAAATATAGAAACATGCACAGTCCAGTTAATCGGCGGTTCCATTTACAGTTAAAAATTTAGCGACGGCAAATAAGAAACGCCGCAAATTACTGTTTAAGTATCGATAGCAAATCTTTTCCATCGATAACTAGATTGTTTGCTGTATTTCCCAGACTTACTGTTATTGGATAGATATAGTTGTGAAGATAAATCGATAATCTTAATTTATTCACCCATTCCTACCAATGCCGTTATTAAAATTAGCAATCAATTTAGTAAATCCTATTGAATTCTACAAATTAAACCACACCATCACTTTTTAATCGTTAAACAACAAAATAGAAAAGTTATATTGATAAATTGATATTGATAAATTGGAAATATCTCTAGAACAAGAAATCCTGCGTTTGATATTTCATATTTAAACCTAATCGGTACTAACGTTTCATACTTATATTTTGTTTTTTCATATGTAACTAAAAGTTGGACAGTCTGGAGATCAAATACACCGATGATCCATCGGCGCCTGAGAAAACGCGCGAGGAAGTCCGTCCCGGTTCGCCGTTCATTGCTTTTATCGTATCGCCGCATGTCACCGTTGAACTGACCAATCCCATAGAGCGCTCTGGACTATTTCAAGTGAATACCATCATTTCAGAAGGCGACACGGTGCGCACCCTCCAAGAGAAACTTGCCAAGATCATAGGACTCAAAACGGAACTGTCTTCTCTAAAGCTCTGGCGCTATGATGATCCGCAACTGGGTCCACGCAAGCTTCCGAACTTCCAGGACTTTAAAACTGGGAAATCGCTGCTAACTGAAGGTGCCTTCGTCTTGGATGTGGCCGCCAAGCGAGTGAGCGTGGACTTGGGTGCCGGCAAACTGCTCGAGGTGGGCAGAAACTTTATCTATGTTGTGGATTAGGGTCAAGGCACGCGCCCCTGGTGCGATGCATTTGACATTAGCGTAATTTAATTTATTCGTGCTGGTAACCTCCAGCTGTATAACAGTTGACTGTATAACCATTAAAGAATGAAAACTACGCAAACACTTTCGACCCATTTCCAGTCAAGAGACATACCAACGTCGATGTGAAGTTCTATGCACCCATTTCGATTTATAGCATTTTGTGTCAGTCAGTCAACCAGATAAGCCGCAGTGGGTGGCTATTACTTACACTTTGCATCCATCGCCGTCTGGGGTGACGGCTATAAAAAGCCTGTGGCAGTTATCAAATCAAAGTATACTTCAACTTAAAGCTGTAATGTTGACACTACGCTTGATTTTGTTGCTACAGAGCATTCTGTTGGTCTTTGGCGGTGGTAAGTCGCGGCGGAATTCGATCTCAAAAACGGTCTCACAGTCAATCAAAAATCGACTCATAACTTTAGATAAATGGGTATCACAATGGATGATGATAACTTTTGAAAGAAGTTAAGGCCTTGTGAATATAATTGTGGGACCAGTTATATTTTGAACGAAAAGCACAGAAAAATTTAATCGATATTCTTGCAGTCTGCCTTATACCCAGCCCCATAAGGCAGGAACGTTCGCTTTTCAGTGAGCTGCTGAAGCCGCAGCCGCGTCTAGACGGCCGCATTGTGGGAGGACATCGTATCAATATCACCGATGCACCACATCAGGTATCGCTTCAAACCAGCAGTCACATATGCGGCGGTTCCATTATAGACAAGCAATGGATACTCACAGCGGCACATTGTACCTAGTAAGTATACCTGGAGAGGATCTGATAGGTATTAACGATTTAAAATCGATCCCCACCAAAACAAAGTGGGGCTTCAAAGGGATTCTTCAGATTCAATATGAACCCTTATATATGTTTATTGGCGAATGTGTTCATCGGGAAATCTGATATGGTTGGCCAGGCAAATAATTTGCGCACCAATTTGTTGAATTCTAACAGAAAACTTCTTAGTGATTTACTTTAAAAAATAACAATTTTATGGGCAGATTGTTTGCATGTCTGATCGTGTCTTAATGGGCTAAATAGATTGTTTGGATATTAATAAACTGATTTAAAAGAGTGAGTTTTGCTTTAAAGCGAAAGAAGTAGGGAATAACTCTGATGTGTTTAGGATATAGGCTTTTTTTGTGGATTTTGGAAGCTGAAAAGTAGTAGTTTATTGCTAATTAGATGCTAGCTCCTTAGCAGTGTGTGTTGTGATGTAGATATTATCTCTTTGTCCAATTCTGTAGTAGAGAGTGCGTATATAGACAGTGCCTTAAAGGACTCAGTCTATTAGTCCAGTTCCTTCTCTGCAGGTGTCGGTGAAATTCGGAGTCCTTCACCTTCTCCAGCTGTATCAGCCCTAGCTAGTCTACAAGTATATATAATTTATATCTCTTCTTCAATTAGTTAGTTGATTATTTGTTTATAAGACTTGCAGTTCCTGAGAGTCCTTCTTCATCTTATCCAGCTGTATCAGCTCTAGCTAGTCTATATATAATTTAGATCTCTTCTTCTTCAATTAGTTAGTCGATTATTTGTTTATAAGACTTGCAGTTCCTGAGAGTCCTTCTTCATCTTCTCCAGCTAATTCAGCACTAACTAGTCTATATATAATTTAGATCTCTTCTTCTTCAATTATATTATTATTATAAAAATTATTTTCTTTAAATCAGCGGCAAAACAGCGGATCGCCTGCGCATACGTCTCGGCAGCTCAGAGGCATCGCATCACGGCGAACTGTTGCGCGTTAAGAAGATTGTCCAGCATGAGAAATTCAACTACACCAATGTGGACTACGATTTCTCCTTGCTGGAGCTGGAGCACGAGATTGAATTTGATGCCACCAAGAAGGCCATAATGTTACCCAACGATTCCCAAATGTTCCTCGATGGAGAAGTTTGCTTTGTTAGTGGCTGGGGCAATACCCAAACCATTCTCGAGTCCCGCGACTGGTTGCGTCAGGTGGAGGTTCCATTGGTGAATCAGCAACTGTGCAGTGAGAAGTACAAACAATATGGAGGCGTCACGGAGCGTATGATATGCGCTGGTTTCTTGGAGGGCGGCAAGGATGCCTGTCAAGGCGATTCTGGTGGTCCCATGGTGAATGAGGCGGGCGTGCTGGTGGGCGTAGTGTCGTGGGGCTACGGTTGCGCAAAGCCCGACTTTCCCGGCGTCTATGCGCGCGTTACCTATGCTCGGGATTGGATCAAAGAGCATAGTGGGGTATAGGCTTAAAATATGAATACAATAACGATAACAATGGTTGGAAAAATAATAAGCATGAATGACAATAAAAATGAATTAACGAAAAAAAAGGTCTACCATTTTATGATGTTCTGAAAACAGTCTACAAGTAAAAGCTTATCAAAACTTGGAAAAGAATTTACGGGAAGAGCCACAGGCCTTTTGGCAATATGGTCTATATATATTTTAACTCCAAGCTATGCTTGACAAGAACAGGATATTGAAGAAATGGATTGGCACTATATAATGGGGTGTTTACTTTTGTTTTTCATTCATCATTAATGAGAATATTGTCTTATTATCACGGATATAAGTTTATTTCATTTAAAAATGATGGGCTTGAAATGATGTTTTGAAGTAAAGAAAATAAGTTTACTATTTGGAAATTCCATTTCAAACACGGCGATCCACTTCGGTTATTATGCAGAGCGCCTAGTTGTAGCATCTGATATCAAAATATGCATTTTATAAAGTTAATTTAACGACTTACTTAAAAACAATATATAATATGCTATTACTTGAGTCCGTGTGCTGTTATTAGATGGGTTGGGGGTTTTTTTTCTGCACCCTTCTTGGCCAACTATCAGACTACAAGTATAAGTACAAGCAAACAGCATTTGAGTAGTTCACAATTATTAGCTGGCGAGTAGTTATAACACAGAAATTCTCAAAATATAAGTTAATATAAATAAATAGTAACAATTCATTTTTTTGGTACCCTCAACTGAACTGCCTCTTTCTATTTTCTCTATAAAAATTGTTCTTTTAGGCCACCTCCGAGGAATTCTCGGACAACTTACGGCAGTGGATTGATGAATCTGGCGTAAGCGATTCTATCATCACGAATTATTGAGATTTATTTTATTTTTTTTTTTTCTAGACAAAAATGTTACCAGTCCGGCAAGCTATTTACAACCATACTCGTATGTGTGTGGAAAGAATATGAATAAGCATATGCTAGGGAAAAGGTCAGCAAATTAAATGGATCTAGTTCTTTCAAATTGTTGTTCTAAGATCGCTTTGTGTGTAGAGGTTTATTATAATGATGAGGAATATTATAATGCTGAGGATTATTATAATTTAGAAACAGAACCAGAAAAGGAAAACTACATATTGAACTATCTATGTACTATAAAATTATAAAAAAAATCATATTAAATGCTTCTAGTTCTTTCAAATTGTTGTTCTAAGATCGCTTTGTGTGAAGAGGTTTATTATAATGATGAGTATTATTATAATGCTGAGGATTATTATAATTTAGACACAGAACCAGAAAAGGAAAACTACATATTGAACTAACTATGTACTATTAAATTATAAAAAAAATCATATTAAATGCTTCTAGTTCTTTCAAATTGTTCTAAGATCGCTTTGTGTGAAGAGGTTTATTATAATGATGAGGATTATTATAATGCTGAGGATTATTATAATTTAGACACAGAATCAGAAAAGGAAAACTGCATATTGAACTAACTACTTAATTGTATAGTAATTGTATGTATTGTTAAAGTAGGCAAATTAAATGCTTCAAGTTCAAATTGTTGTTCTAATTGGATTGTCTAAAGATAGCTTTGTGTTAGCATATTCGATTTACTGTACATACGGGTATGTACATATGTATGTGTTTTCTTCTTAACAAATTCAGTTGCTGTACTTTTTGTACTTTTCTTTAACTTTGTTGTGACTTCATGTTTGTCTCAATTTTGATATAACTAATAGCTCGTTGTAGGGTTTCAACTATTGCGCCAAGTCACTACATAATTCAGTACTACCATTTCATTTTCTTCATATAAATTTTTGTATATATGGGTTTGTAGTGCATTTGGGAAACTTTAAAGCATATATGCGATTTACAAACTATAAAGAAGTCAATGTATTCTTTAACAATTACATTTCTTACTACACTTCCTGCAGCTTTTATAAAAAACTTACTGAATATATAGTATAGTACATATGAATTGACACGTTCTGAGAGGGAGCAAACACTATTCTATCCAACCCGGCAATTTAGAAACAATTGCGGTTGCAACGTTCACATGCTACAATGTGATTGTCAGCTCACAGCTCCAGTCCCCGGTGGAAAACACGCGACCTGCTCACATTATTGCAACGCATGTCGCGTTGCGGAGACGAACTGGCTGGGTTAGAGCCTGTGGCAAGTCAGGTACGACCAAACAATTGTGCGTAGGCGGGTGACATTTAAAACTATGCGGAAAAGTCAAGTTCAAGTACAACAAGCAGCAACAAATACTACTAGATATATACTACGTAGATTGACATATACTATATACTTACTATATGCTCGTGAAATGGTTAGTGTTCTTGGTGCTGACGCAGGTTGTTGGTCTTTTTGTTTGATGCGTTTATTGTTTTTTGTCTTTGGTTCAAATTACTTTAGCAACGGCTATAGAAATGTACAAAACCACATATACTTGTATAATGCCTATTGATATCAACATGTTTCTTAAAAGTTACATACTTGTATGGTTACAGTAAGCACACAACACAATATTACGTATACGCCTCGTACGGCCCGAACACCTTTTATTAAGTAGGTGAGCTGTTTGTCTTTGTTTTGCTTCTTTCCTTTTTTGCAATCTGTGTTTGTGTATTGATAAATCAGGCACAAGCCATTAACATTTGCTTTTACATAAGCACCTTAGCCATCGCCTTTGACGGTAAACAACAGTCCATTAATTAGAAATACAAGTAAGAACGAATAGTGCCGTCCATATGCCTCTAATAATCATTTCTAGAGCTTCTACGGTATTTCAAGCTTTTAAATCAGTTTTAATAAATTGTTAAATAAAAATAGTTTTAATTAAAAATAATTTGTATTTTTATTTTAAATGAAAACCCCGTTTTTTATAATTATATAAATATTATTTATTTATAATATTTCCAACAATAACTCACCTGTTTTAAAAATTTTGTTATAAAATTTATTATTTATTTTATAGTATTTATTATTATACTTGTACCCTTTCCCACAATAACTTCTCATAGAACTGACCGATTAGTATGAAAATTGAAACAATAGTATAGCATTTTATATTAATTCCTTGTGTTTACATACATACTTTGAAATTATGGAAGGTTTTGGGAAGAGTCAAAAAAATAAAGTCAGCTCGTGTTGCCTGTGGATAAGATACCAAGGTACCAGGTTGCGGCTCATCAGTAAAAAAAGAATAAGATATAATTCTATATAGATTATAGTTTGGTTTATATAGCTTTTACATTGCGGGAAATCACAATTATAAAATAAACTCGTGTTGCCTGGATATTGGAAGAGTCCACATGCCAAGTTTGGTTTATGTGTGTTCAGCCGTTGCCGAAAACCAGGCGTTCATCCAGACGGACGGGCGGATCAGCTTCCCTCGTCATGCTGATTAAAAGTATATATACTTTATGGAATCGGAAATGCCTTCTTCTGCCTTTTACATACTTTACACAAACCTAATATACCATTTTCACCCTACGGGTACAGAGTATAATAATAGCATTAAATTCAACCCTATTTAGGTAAAATACAAGTAGTTCCTTATTGCGCTCTGAAGAAGTGATCAGTTTTTGCTAGCTAATAGATTGTTTTTAGTTTCAACTAAATGTGTGGACTCTTTCGCTTTTTAGATAACGCTTGTCAACAAACTGATTGTTGTTTACACGAGTATAGTATGTAATGCTAATGCCCTAATGGGCTGATTAAGTAACGTCGTATTAAGAATACCTAATAACACTTATACCCACATGGGTAGCTAGTCATTTATAGAGCTGTCAGAAGAGTGATTGCAAGCGCGTCTTCTCGCGCTCATACGCCATGATGTGAGAGCCCAAAACGGAAGACTATCAGTTGAGTTGTATAAGCTAATCGTTTTCTGAGCTCAAATCATCTTTGCTAAAAAGAAAACATACTCAAGGAGCCACTGCGGTGAGGCAGTGATGCGTTCAAACACGCACGAATGCCTCACGAAAATTGGAATTTGTCGTCGTGCAAAATTACCTAAAACTGTTAGGCAACAAAAGTCAACGCCGTTGTCGTTCTCGGTCTCGTCGTCACTGTTAGTGAGCGCGACTCGAAGCACGCCACGACTCCGTAAGTCATCACTGGCGGTCTAGAGCAGTCAGATAACCCAAGGCGCTACATGTCTACAATGCACATTGGTGCGGCAGATGAAAAAATATAGTTCGAATATAAATAAAGTTTACAATTTTGTTAACATTTCTGAACATGTTGAATTCTTTCATATATAGCTGGAATCACAGCAATTATTTTTCGATCTGGGGGAAGATATTTGGCACTGAGTTAAACATAAATGCTTAAAAATAAATTGAATATCGAAATAGTAAGTTTGCAAAAATACTCGTATATATAAAGTTTAAAATATATAAAGCCTTAGAGCTTAAGCAGTACAATAAGTCATAATTAAAAATGCAGAATTGCTAAATTCAATTATAATTGTAGATCATTTCATTCTATTTTTTATTATTATTATTTTTTTATTAAGCAATATATTGCAATAAAAAGCAAACATATTCAAATTTAATTATATTTTTAATTTTCTTTCTATGTTTTTATTTTTGTGAATAAGTATATATTATATTGCAATAAAAAATAAACATATTCAGTGTACTATATTCCTTCAGCTGATAACTTTTGCATTGATCCTGTCTAGATGCATAAGTGACTATGGGGGGTTTGTGTTCAAAAATAAAATGTTCTTTCTAATTTACTTTTAACAGAACTCTCGCTTTCTACTCTATAGTTAATAATATCAACACTATTTCTTATCTATTATATTATTACTCAAATAAATTATATAGTTTGAGCTATGAAAAAGAAAACATATTTCTTTAATTTATTTGATTAATAAAAATTGTTAATGTTAAAAATAAAATTAATAATAAGAAAATTCTTAATAATAAGCTGAATATAACTAAATATGTAATGTTTAGCGTAATAATTTAAATGTAATCTAATACTTGTAACGCTAGAATAAGGCTTATAAATAAATAAATAAAATAAAATATATGTAGTATGTTTTATAGTCATTGCATACATATTTAAATATATGTATGCTAGTAGTTCATAATATTTGTGTCAAAAAACGGACGGCTTTCAGATTTTTATGTGCATCATCAGTACTGCAAACTGGATAGCTTGCACTTTTCATATTTTTCCGTAACCCGAACCACTGTCCATAGCCGCCCTCAGTATGGAAAACGTTTAACGGTGTGTGCTGTTGCTGGTCGGCAGTGCTGTCTTGGTTATCGAACAGTCACAACCACAGCGACAGCGCCTCAATGAGAACACAAAACAAACAACAAACGTGCTTCACGTTGCTGCGACACGTGAACGACATCGTGCGCTGTCCATAAGCGGCCGTGGGTGCGAGCGAGCGCGTCCAAAGCTCAGCTACATGGGTATGCCGGCCAGAGGAGAGACAACAACTCGAGCTTTTGCGCATCTCATGCGACTGCAATGTGAACACTGAAGGGGTTTGTGTGTGTGTGTGTGCACGGTCGATGCATTGGCGGTACGTTTACGTTCTATGTCCGTAAAATGCAAATTCTATTCACATTCAACGTTCTGCGTTCGAAGTAAGCGGTCGTGTGCGCGCACGCTTTTATTTTATATTTTTTACATTTTTCAAGACCTGCTCCAATATTTGTTATTCCATCGAGCGTAATAGCGCCCTTCCATACATCATAGCAATTACTATATAGTATTGTGCAAGTGTTTTAAATAAATAGTGAAACTGAATTTTGTCTATGGAAAAGTTTAAGTCACGCTATTCAATTTTGCAACAAATACAGCTGAATTGTTCAACTACTCTGTGTGTGTGTGAGTGTATATTTTCACACTGTGCTGAACAAAGTGCAGCTTGTCGTTGTTGCAATTTTACGTAAACTCGACTTGAAAAGTGCGACTGAAAGTATTCCTACACACAATAATAATGAATATACATATGTACAATGAATAATGCATAATCGAATAGAGTCGTTTGTGAAATAGTGGCTGTTTGTGAATTAGTTGGGGCAGGCTTAAGCCGGCTTAAGGCTTTCCTTAACCAAAAAAATTAACACGAAACCTATTTTTAATTTCTTTAAAGCCTAAAGCACAAAGGTGTGTGTAACTTCTACCAAAAGCGACCCCAAGAAGTTGCTTAAAAAATTGCTTACACGCGCAACTCAATCATTTCTGCCAATTGATATTTGTAACCCCTAGACTACTTTGGATTACTAAAACGTCGCTGCAGTAGACAAACCAAGCGGTAAGCATACAACCCTACATAAAATATACATACATATATCATGAGCTATATAGCTACGTACTTGCTCGTATGAGTAATGTGCAAAAAAAGCAAAACCGTAAGAGCTTTTTTTTTTGAATTGCCAGCGCGCCAACATCAAGTTTGAAACAAATATTGGTGTGTTTCCAGAAAGCAAGGAAAGTCAAGCCAGCCATCAAGTATTATTTGTTGTCCTAGCTTTATGCTCAAACAAAATTCTAGAAGTTACGCGTATTTTATCGAAATTATTAACAACAAACAAATTGCAAGGAAAGTCAAGCCAGCCATCAAGTATTATTTGTTGTCCTAGCTTTATGCTCAAACAAAATTATATTTTATCGAAATTATTAACAACAAACAAATTGCGGTTATTTTATGCGGAAACATGGCTATTTATATTACATTTATTACTACAAACAAGTACATTCCTTTTCGTTTTTTGGTATTTAAATTGTCTGTGATTGGTAAAAAATTTTGATAGGGGCCGTTGCCCCCTCTGCAAAAAACTTCTCAATAGGAAGTCGACATTCATTATTATGGCCTTAAAATGGAACTGAGTTAGATTTGTTGAAATTTTTCCATTGATCATATGCATGAGTTATTATTTTAACGCATCGAGCATTATTTAATCAAAATTAAAATTTGTTAGCCCCTCCTTGGGTCTAGAGCAGTCAATGAACTGAATTGGAGCAGCATTTTCAATATGAGATTGAGAATCATGGTTTATGCACTCAGCAAAATGCAAAATTTGAAATCAGTTGTTTAAAAAGAAAACTGCATTTTCGGAGATGTATTTTGAATTCATTATTTTATTGATAATGTATTTGTCTTGTTCGAGTGTCCCTATTTGTATTTCGCGGGAATAGTTTCATACTTTTCTATAATCATTTTTCGAAGATATCGTTTTACGAGTAAATTTAGAGACTATTTTGTCATGTTGGAGTGCTTATGCTTTCCTTTCAACAGCTATACATCTTAACTCGTTTAAGTCATGGCAATAATTTTTATTGTTGTCTGTCGGAAATATCATTCTAGAGACCACGAAAAGACTATGTTTAAGTAAATTGTAGTGTAATGCTAAATAAGAGGAACTGTTTCGCATAACTGACGACAAACAAAAACGCTTGCATTTCGATCAGCAGCAGTGTAACGTTTAATTACATTGATTGATTAACTAATTGAATTGAATTGATTTATATTCAGTGTTTTGTTATCATCAATTATTAATGACCTTATGCTTGCACTATTATCGACTTATGTTTTTGATTCTATTCTTAATTTCTTAATTTCTTAGTTCCCTTCCATGCCAGAATTTGTAACCATAAAAAATGGCATGGGGGTAGTCTTTCCCATGAGCCATGCCTAGGTATAACTTGTTTCTATTTGAGGGATCCATATAACTTGATAATAAGTTATATTTTCAGCGGATATGCCCAAATTTAAAAAGCTATTGAGTTGTTCGCCTATTATTATGCGCTTTCATAACCCAAATATGTTCCTGTGTTCGAGGAAATATGAAAACGGTAGCTGCAGACAAAGCGGGAAAGAAAGCACACAACTGCTTCTGTTTCTGACACCACCAGATGTAGTTCGGAGCAAGCGCCACATGTGGCATGCAGTTCATACAACGACACACAAAGATATAATAAAAGACACAACAAATAAACCAAAATGGGTTTCCTTGAACTAATTTGCAAGGCAAAGTTAGCTGTCTTTTTATTGAACTTTGCCAAAATTTAGGCAATATCAACAATCTGAATGCCATTTGGCTCTTTCTTAGGCACTTCATCGCACTTCTATTTTCCTGAATGAATTTTTTCCTACTACCACAAACACAAATGAGCTCGATTTGAATAGATATATGTGCGAGCGTTGTTAAATGTGCATATGATTTGAATTTTATGTAAGCATCTTTCTATGGTCGTGTTGTCTCTATTTACCTTTTCTTTTTATTTTGGTTTCATAACCTGCTAGTTGCCAGCACGGAACGGAAATGCGATTTGGGTTGGAGCAGTGCGCGAGATACGAATGGATATGTATGCGGTTGTTATGTAAATTCAACTGAATTCATCAAACGCTGAACATTGCGCTCTAGTTAGGGATAGTAAAACCGCAATGGAATATGGTTGTTTGTTTTAGAAGAACATTGATTAAATATTAATAATTTTATAGAAAATGGCAATAGTTAGACAAGGGTATACATTTGAAATGTAGAATGTTTTCTGATGTTTCTTCCTTTTAAGTATCATGGCAAATGGTGCACTACTTGGCCAATCTGGCAAAGCTCAGTTTTATTCTTGCAATCAGTGTTTATAGTCAGCTTAGCGGTAATACTATTTTGGCCTCTAATGACTATTTTTTTCAAATGCCCATGCCTTGGCTAGAAATTTGGCGTCCTTTTAATTATGTATTAAAGAGCTTGCTTTTCCGGTGAAAAATTAAAACTCAAATAATTTCAACACCTTTTTAAGAATAACTTTTAATAAGCATGGAAAGAACTCATTAAAATAAAAGATAAAGTTTTCTCAAACCTTGGCATGCATATCCAGTTTTCCAGATACTTCTGTGCCAGTAAGACAGCAAGCGAAGCAGATTGAACAACCAGTTTAGCCCTATACGTAACACCTAGACATGTATTTCTCATAATCTAGCAGACTGTATTACCCTTTGGGTGCATGGCATAATCAAATGGCTTAATTAACATCCACCTTTTATATAATGTTGCTAATCCGAAAGCAACAGCCTTCAATCTGCATTAAACTAGCACACTAACATAATAGAGTATAGCTTGTTATTATATCTAGCTTTCAATTCCATTACATATATACTTATCTATAAACGCATTTTCCATTGCAATTTGAAACGGTCGCCTAAAATAATGCAATACTTTTTTTTTGTGCGTCGCAATTCTTTCAATTCTTTTCAATTACCTCTAGGAATCGTTATACAATATAATGAGGTATAACACCACCACTTATCACACTGCCAACTGTGTCCAAAAATAGACACAGAGTATTAGTTTTCACAATCACCATAGAAATTGTCGCTTACTCCAAGCCACTAAACCCATACAAATGGAATTCCAAAGGCGCCCTATAAATACGTGCAGTCCATTGTCCTCTCCTTCCACATCAGCAACGACACCACCACCACCAGCAGCACCACCCCCTCTAAAGGGTGGTGGTTACGTTTACACAATCAAAGAAGCTGCGCAACACGCAGCACCGACTGCTGGGATGGAGACACTGGCGCGTGTCTGTGTTAGTGGGTGTGCGTGTGCGTGTGCTTGTGAGTCACATGCGGATGCCCGTGGACCTGTTGCTGCTGTTGTTGTTTTTGTTGCTGTTGCTGCGCCTGGCCTGCCCTGGCCTGGCCTGGTTACGTGTTCATTTAGGGGGTGTGGTTCAAAAAATTTGGGCTCGCCTCTGCATTATGGGGGTGTGTTTCCATATGTCTGCGCGAATTGTTTGTTTTCCAAAATCAATCGAGTGTAAATTGAAAAATTGTACAATTTTCCTGACAAACACGCTCTCGTGGCACGTGCAATTCTTGTGGGTGGCTTTGTGCCACACGTTTCGCTATCCTCTGCATGCTAAGCAGCTGCACATTGCATTGACTTGGGCCGGATAGGTTTCCGTGGCCGTTGCTGTTGCTGTTGCTGCCTGCAGTTCTGGTCACATGCACTAGTCATGGGCAGCTTAGCTGATATTTATAACAAACCTTTTGTACACGTTGTTTAATTAAATTTGATTCGTTGCTATTCCTGTTGCTGCTGCTGTTGTTGTTGTTGCGGCAGTTATGTCGTGTCTGGGCGAACGCTTCAATATAAATTCAAGGGTCGTTGCTCAAACAGCTCATGTCAAGGGCATTCGAAACAAATATTTGAATAAAAGATTAACAACAATTGTTTCCTTATGGAACGGTATAGAACGAGAAAAGTTTTCTACTCTAGATGTTTCTGCTTATAGCCTTCACTCAAATAGGTCATGTCATATAAGGAAATGCAAAAAGTCGCACACGCCTCACTGGAAAGGGTCGACTGCTCAAATAAGTCATGTCAAGGGTAATATATGCCACCATTTATGTAAAAAATCAATAGCAATTGGTTTTTGCGTATATAAGGAGACTAGTTTTTAAGCATATTTGTCGTTTGTCTCACATTTTTATAGTATCTGCCGCGGCTTTTTACTTTCTCATGGACATAGTAGATTATTACATATTACTATTACAGTGATCGATAATCATATATAACTGCCATTGTAGGTAAAATTGATTTAAAAAGTTATAGAAACAAAAGAGCTTGTAGAGATTGTTATTATTTATTGTAATTGAACATATTTCCATGAATTATCAATTGGAAAATGAATACAAAAAGTTAATTCTTTTGATTATTTGTTCATATAACTTTATATGTTTTTTTAAGAACTCAAGTTTAGTTCACTAGCTGAATTTGATCTAGAAATTAAAATCAAGTTAACCGCAAATATTAATTGTGAATATCCAACATCATTTTCAAGCTCCATCTCTTCGTAATATTAACCACACCGCCAATGCTATAAAATGCTATAAAATGAACAGCCGTTAATCTCCAGTCATTATAGTATTAAGAGACTAGAGCTGGATACTTTCGAACACTATTTCGATATGTTTCTTTTCTTTGACATATTTCTGGAATCTTTAAGAGAAAAGGATAGAGCTTTTCTCCTTGAAGATCATAAACTTCATTTAAGAACTTGCCTGCTGTGCCTATATGCTGCTAAGTTCCTTCAAGATCTTCTTAAGATCCCTTATTAAATGTAGTATAAATATGTTTATTATGACTCATCATTTATGTTTCGCTCCTTTCCTCTGTCCTTGTTTTAGTTGGCTGCCTGAAACCCTAAGACCGTGCAGGGTATTTGAATGCACAACGCTGATCATGTGCTGCAAGTGGCTACAAGAAAAACAAATTATTAAATCGAAACTCATTCAAAAAACCAAGTACAACCATTGCAAAAACATCACATAAGCTCTTGTTATGGACTGGTTACTTGCTACGCCTCAGTTGCATAGCGCGTTCTCATCGCTCGGCTCCGTGGAGGGCGACACCTATGTGGTCAGCCCGAATGCGCTAGGTAAGTCAAAAAGAAACTAACAACAACAAAAATGCAACCAAACCAAATGTATCTCGAATCCTTGATGCAGCCATTCTCGAGGAGATTAACTACAAATTGACGTATGAGGATCAAACGTTGCGCACATTTAGGCGCGCCATCGGCTTTGGTCAGAATGTTCGTTCCGATCTGATTCCACTGCTGAAGAATGCCAAGGATGATGCTGTACTCGAGTTGGTCATACGGATTTTGGTGAACCTGACGGTGCCTGTGGAGTGCCTCTTCTCGGTGGATGTCATGTATCGTACTGAGGTAGGTCGTCACACCATCTTCGAGCTGAATAAGCTGCTTTATACCAGCAAGGAGGCCTTCACCGATCCGAAGAGCACCAAGAGCGTGGTGGAGTATATGAAGCACATACTGGAATCAGAGCCGAAGCTGTCGCCACAGAAATGTGATCAGATCAACAACTGTTTGCTGCTTCTACGCAACATTCTGCATATATCTGAGACTCATGCCCATTTCATCATGCCCATACTGCAGACGAGCAACGGTCATGTGATTTCCATGCAAAATACCATATTGTGGAACCTCTTCATACAGAGCATCGACAAGCTGCTGATCTATCTCATGACCTGTCCGCAGCGCGCCTTTTGGGCCGTTAACATGGTACAGTTGATATCACTCATATATAAGGATCAACATGTGAGCACTTTGCAGAAGCTGCTCAATTTGTGGTTCGAAGCCTCGTTGTCCGAAAGCTCAGACGATAATGAGAGTAACACATCGCCGCCTAAACAGGGCAGTGGTGACTCCAGTCCAATGCTAACCTCAGATCCCACATCCGATTCCTCCGATAATGGTAGCAATGGCGGCGGCCAAAACGATGGGTGCGATAAACGACGGCAGGCCTTAAGGGAGGGCACCGAGGCGACCCTACAGGAGGTTAGTCGCAAGGGTCATGAGTACCAAAATGCACTGATGCGGGTGCCCGCCGAGAAGCCCGATAGTTCAGAGGCCGCCAGCGATATTACCGATATGCCACTCTCGCCCGAGCAGCGAACTATTTCCGAAGCCATGGAGGAAGCCGATTTTGTGGAGCGTCATGTACGAGATGATGATGAGGAGAAAGATGAAGAAGATGAGGAGGAGCCGGAGGTGGTCACTATAACACCGCCATCGTTGCCGTTGAATCTAACACAACCAGCTGACAAAGCTAACACCACTACCAATGAGTCAGCGAGTCATTTGCTCGCGCTCAACCACAACCGAAACCACTCGACGGCATCATCGAACACCCACTTCAATAACGAGCCCTTCAAGCCACCTCCACCGCTGCCCATGCGACCCTTGACATCGGCACTAGCGCAGAAATTTGCCGACATGGTCGGTGAAGCGTATCCAGCACATATGTCGGCTGTCAAACTTGGCCAAAAGTCACCCCATTCCGGCCAGTTGCAGCTGACAAAGGGGAAGTGTTGTCCGCAGAAGCGCGAGTGCCCTTCCTCGCAGTCAGAGCTCTCCGATTGCGGCTATGGCACACAGGTGGAGAATCAGGAATCTATTTCCACCTCCAGCAATGATGATGACGGGCCACAGGGCAAGCCGCAGCACCAGAAACCGCCTTGCAACACCAAACCGCGCAACAAACAGCGAACAATCCTGTCGCCAATGGACAAGAAGGAGCTGCGACGTAAGAAGCTCGTGAAGCGCAGCAAAAGCAGTCTGTAAGTACAAAAAAAAACTAAACCACTTTCGAAGAAGTTGGTTTTAACTTTCTAAAAAATTACCTCGCCTTTCAGCATCAATATGAAGGGTCTGGTGCAGCACATGCCAACAAATGAGGACATATCCAACCTGCTCAAAGAATTCACTGTCGACTTTCTGCTTAAGGGCTACAACTATCTGGTAGAAGAGCTACACATGCAGTTGTTAACTTATGCGGTAAGTTTGGGGACATTGTTCATCCAGGACCTCCTCCTTAATTGTACTCTCTGCTAATTCACAGAAAATCCCCATTGATACCTCACACTTTTTCTGGCTGGTCACATACTTCCTGAAGTTTGCCGTTCAGCTCGAGTTGGACATTGAGCATATCAATACGATACTCACCTACGATGTCATAAGCTACTTAACCTACGAGGGCGTTAGCTTGTGTGAGCAATTGGAGCTGAATGCACGCCAGGAGGGCAGTGACCTGAAACCCTATCTGCGTCGCATGCATCTAGTCGTGACGGCCATACGCGAATTCCTGCAGGCCATCGAGACATACAATAAGGTCACACATCTCAGTGAGGACGATCGCGCACATCTGCGTCAGCTGCAAATCCAAATTAGCTCGACATCGGATCTGCGTTGCCTATTTGTGCTTTTGCTGCGACGCTTCAATCCCAGTATCCACTCGAAGCAGTATCTGCAAGACTTGGTCGTCACCAATCACATGCTCATGCTTATTCTGGATAGCGCTGCTAAGCTCGATGGCGGCCAAAGCATCAAGCTTTCAGATCATATATCTCAGTAAGTTTTATTCATCGGCACATTTTAGATATACTTGTATATATTTCTAAATACCCTTGTATTGAATCTTACAGATTTGCCACCCTGGAGGTCATGCATTATTATGGCATACTGCTGGAGGACTTTAAGAGTAATGGCGAGTTCGTCAATGATTGCATCTTCACCATGATGCATCATATCGGTGGCGATTTGGGCCAAATAGGCGTACTCTTTCAGCCAATTATATTGAAAACATACTCACGCATTTGGGAAGCCGACTATGAGCTTTGTGATGTAAGTCTTGCCCGCCAAGGCCTTAACTAACTTTTACTTATGTGTGTTGACACCTTCTTTAGGACTGGTCCGATCTCATCGAGTATGTCATCCATAAGTTCATGAATGCACCGCCCAAGTCTCCGTTAACCATACCGACGACCTCGCTCACGGAAATGACCAAGGAACACAATCAGGAACACACTGTATGGTATGTTACAGTTCTAGAATGGAGTTCATCTGAACAAGCTTTAGATAAAGGCAGGCTTTGAATTGATTTTTTTGTTTTCCAATATCTTCCACCTTCTAGCTGTACGTATTTAGTGAAGTACCGTTTCTTTTAAATTTAGTTAACAAATTAATAGATTACCTGCAGGGCTTGAAAAGTAACTCGATCTGTAGTCGACTAGTATTGTGGCCGATGTAGAATTATTTATATCATTAAATAATTTTCAAAAACTTAAACTTTATATATTGTCTGTTTTTTGCAGCTCTTGGTCTCAAGAGGAAATGGACACACTTTATTGGTACTATGTGCAAAGCAGAAAGAATAATGATGTGGTTGGCAAAATTGTGAAGCTCTTCAAGAACAGCGGCAACAAGCACAAGTCCCGCATATCTATAATCCAGCAATTGCTTCAGCAGGTAGGTTCTGGCTGCGCTCTGAAAGATCGCGGAATAATGAAGTGAGTTTTCACAGGATATTATAACGTTGCTGGAGTACGATGATCTGATGAAGTTCGAAGATGCGGAATACCAGCGCACGTTGCTTACAACACCCACATCGAACACCACCGAGTCGGGCATTGAACTGAAGGAGAGCGCCTATGGCAAACCCTCAGATGATATACAGGTGAGCATCATTAAAGACTATGGGATTTAGTTGACACACTTTGCAGATGCTTTAGTTTTCCAAGAAAGACTTTGGAAACTAAATGGCAGCCCACTTCTCGAACAGTTGTTATTCAGAGCTTTCCAATTTTTACAGATTCTGCTAGATCTTATAGTCAAGGAGCATAAGGCGCAGCATCTCGTTTGGTTGCAGCAACTCTTGCTCGAATGTTGCTACATTAAGTTGTCGTTGAAGAGCAACGGGAATAGTTCGAATGAACTCCGCTATTCCGAGCCCATTATGGAGCCAGTGGCCTATCACTATATATGCAAACAAAAGTCCATACCTCTGGTGCAATGGAATAATGAGCAGTCGACGACCATGTTGTATCAGCCGTTTGTGCTGCTGTTGCACAAACTGGGAATACAGTTGCCCGCCGATGCGGGCTCGATATTTGCACGCATACCCGATTACTGGACGCCGGAGACCATGTATGGACTGGCCATGAAGCTGGGACCTTTGGACAAACGTGAGTTAAAGTCTACAACCCTGTTTAGTTGAAGGTGATGTATACCGGTATCAATAATTTTTGCTCTCTCATGTCGACGACACAAATTTTGATTGATTATGGGTATCTGTTAACGTGCGCCCGCAACTCTTCCCAACCAACCTCCCCCCAAAACACTGTTTGATAACTGTCTGTGTGTGTCTGTCGGTGTATCTCGATATGCTCTGTGTTTCTCTCTCTCTTTTGCGTACTTTTCGCTCTTATAGTGACGCTCAAGTTCGATGCCACCGAGCTGGAGGAGACAGCCAGCATGTCATCGGGTTACCATCACAGCCTGCCACGGAACTCATTGAGCTCCGTTTCCAGTCTAGAGGTGGATCCGCCGGAGCCGGAGGAGCTCGCCCTCATACCAGAAGTGGATACTGCCGTGGAGAATGCGCATGCGGCTAGCATGAACACCAGCGAAATATTCGCAATACCCAAGGCCAAGCATTGCAATTCCATTATCAGGTACGCACCACCCCCACCACCACCCACTCCACTAAATGGTGGTACTCATTCAGCTGCCATTGCAGATATACACCGGATCTAACGCCCCCAGTGCCCAACTGGCTGCATTTGGTAATGCGCAGCAAATGTAATCAGCAGGCAGCGCCGCAACACACATCCGCCGATGCCAGTGATTGGTAAGTGGGTCTCTCATGCTATCCTATTTACTGTGGTATGCGTCGGAACAAAAGGCAATCAAATTTTAAGTGAAAGCTAGAAGCTTATTTGAAAAATGTGCACTTCAATTCTTTTTAATTCTTTTTTAAATACTGAAAGCAATTTTCAATTTCTTTGCATTTTAAAATGCATGTTTAATTATAATAATTATAAATTATTTATTTATTTGTGTATTTTTTTAAATAACCATAATAACCATAAATAACCATGAATAATGGTATTCACAATTTTGACATTTTATTTAATTAGCGCATGATTTAAAATTTTAAAAGCCCCACAATCAAGAAATTGAAGCAAACAAATAAATTTATTTAGTGTGAAATAAAAAAGGCAATAAAACGCTTGATTAAAGTGAAAAATTGGTTCTGTTTTTTTATTTTTAAAAATATTTCTAAAATATGTGTAAATTCCGATTCTGAAATTAATTGGTCATTTAATGATGTTTAATATTTCTAACACAGATAATTATGTGCTCAACTTTATTTAATTCATTTCATTGGCATAAAATATTCGTTCTTAAATAAAACAGTTTTTAAAAGCTACTGTAATTTAAGAAATTTTTAAAAACTGATCAAAATATTTGCATATCTATTACGAATTAATTTTTGTGATTTAGTGTTTATTGTGGAGTATATTCGAACAAAGAGTAATAAAATTAAAAATTATAATAAAATTTCAGAACAAGTTTTATATTAAGTTTATTAAATATTTTTAAAAATATTTCTCTTATTTTTATTTGCGTAATTGTATTAAATGTATACATTTTCTGAGAATTTTGTATTTTTTATTTTATATAATATTTATTAACATTTCATTTTATATTTTATGACAATAAAGTTAACGTATTAAAGTTTTTAATTTAGTAAATATTTTCATCCCAGATTTGGTAAATAAGTTAAGTTTTAATAATATTGAGGTATTTGGACTAGTTCACTAGGAGATAAAGGGTGTTTTACAAAAATAAGGTTATCTGTATTTGATGTTGAAATAAGTTGTATAGCTTTCTTTAAGTTGGCACGCAGAAGAATTCCAATTCTGTATTTCTAGAAAGTGTGTTTCCCTTCCATTGAAGCTTTTATATTTATATATACATACTTATAAGAACAATATAAATTATATTTAGAAGAATTCGAATTTTGTGCTTCTAGAAAGTGTGTTTACCTTCCCTTGAAGCTTTTTTATTTAATATGAATATACTTATAAAAACAATATAAATTATATTACATAACATAGCTTTTCAATTGAAAAGAAAAATACATTTGAGCGAAAAGTTAGTAATTTAACAAAATTGGCACTTCAGTGAAATGAAAGTTTTAATGCGCTCCTATTAAATTGGAGCTATAGTTTAGTTAATTCGGGCAATGCTTTAATTTTTATCAACTTACGAAAATGGAAACAGTTTTGAATTGAAGTTGAAAAGCCTTTTCCCGTTTTTAACTTCTATAAAATGAAAAGTGTTCCACTGTACGCAACAATGGCAAAATTTATGGCACAGCAGCCAGATGTTAAGGCTCTAACATATTGTTTACATGGGGGCTGTTAATGCAATTTATGAACTTTGTGCACGTTTAGTCGGCCGATCGGTCGCTCTAACTCTAAACACCAAACACTAAACACTGAACTCTTAAATTTACATTTACTTTCGTGTGTTGACAGTTGTCGGTGGCGCATTAAATGTCAACGTGTGTGTCTCGGGCTGCATTGTGTTGCCTAGAACCGAGCACGGCTCAGAGCTCAGCCCGTCATCTAGATTTGGCTTATGATCCATCCGTTTTGGCCATATTGACCATATGTGTGTATATGTGTGTGTGTGTGTGTGTGTGTGGCAGTTGCGGCGATCGTAAGGCGGTCTATATATGAATACGAGTATGCTGGTCGGCGGACCTCACAGCGTTCAGTGCATGCTCATGTTAAACAGCGTTTTGCTTTTGCTTTATGGGTTTTTTGTCGTGGATTTTTGCTATTTGTTGGTACAGAAAACTCTCAGATCAGCACTGCATGATAAATGGTAACCAGCTGTTTTGCTGTTTCGTTGTTTCGCCTCTTTTTTATTTGCTTATTTTTTTGGGCATTTACACCTTTGACAAGTTGCAATGTTTACGTTTTATTTTTTGGTCTCCCTGTTCCGCTTGATTTGCATCAGCGGTGTAAGGCAATCAAATCAATGCCACACCAACTTGGCTGGCTACCTATGAAATGCATGAACCCTGGCCAACACACCTATGGCGGAACATGAAATGAAGTCATCAGATTAACATGCACAGCCACATTTGGCAGCCTGTGTTGTATTCGCGTACAATGTATTCACAAGTTGGCCTTAATTTTCCATGCCATATAATGCAAAATTAGCGTAAAATTGCAGCCGAATGACAGAAGTTGTCTGCAGCTGCATATGAAAACTAATTAATATCATTTGTAATGCTTTGCAAAACGTAACGAATGTACTTGGACGTATATATACTAGCCTTAGTGTTGTCATCGAAATCACGTAAATTTGTTCATAAGAAGTACAGAAAACTTTCGTATTTCATTAAACAAAAAATTCATTAGAATGATCAATATTTCCATGATTAATCAGCATTTGCTTAGATGAGAGCAAATATAAACGTTTTCCATCCCATAGCAACAGCCTTAAGACTACTTCTATAGCTTAGCTATTGAGCTCCGTATTATTCTTCGCAGGCTCCAAGTTCGTAAAGAAAATAGACATAGGGGCATTTGTCGAGCTTTGTTTTGTATTCACTAATGACATTAGCTTTATGATTTAAAATGAAAAGCATCTTTTTTTTTCAAAAAGCATAACCCCTAATATATATTTTTGCTGTTGGAATGAACAAATTGGGCATATAATAGTTAAATGAAATTTTCAATTATTTGTATGGCCAGTTGAATTGAAAGCTTAACAAGGCATACAGTAGTCTTCTCTGGAGACGACAAGGTCTATATTGTAAAATAAAAACTCTCAAAATGTTGTAATTTATAAAACAACAAGAGAGAACGCTACAGTCGAGCAAGCCCGACAGTGTAATACCCTGTACCCAGGTAAACTTCCGTCACTGAGTTATATGCGCCCATAGCAGCAGCAAAAAGAGGAAGAAGAAGAGCGAACTTGTTGCTGCAGTTTGTGGGGGTTGTACTGGCGAGAATTTGTTTCGCTAATAACTTTTCTTAGAATTGACCGAATTGAATAAAATTTTGAACAACAGTAGACAATTATATATGAATTATGTGTGCATTTGTGTGGTTTAGGTAGCATTTGAAATGTGGACGCTATTGACGAAATTCTGTAGCGGGGGAAGGGGGGGGGGGGAAATTAAAAAAAATAAAATAAACTCGTCCTTACTCGGACCCAGGAGAATCTGGATGCCAACTTTGGTTATTCTAGCTTTTATAGTTTCTGAGATCCTCGCGTTCATCCAGACGGACAGACGGACGGACAGACGGACAGACGGACAGACGAACGGACAGACGGACGGACATGTCTAGATCGATTTCTCTCGTCATGCTGATCAAGAATATATATACTTTATGGGGTCAGAGATGCTTCCTTCTGTATGTTACATACTTTGCACAAACCTAATATACCCTTTTTACCCTACGGGTACAGGGTATAAAAACATGACAAAATCATGTTATAAATAATTTCCATATAAATTGTTACTTTGGCAGTAGTTTTAGAATACCAGAGTAATGTACAAAATCTAGAGATTTTTGTAACACCTCTATTCAAACGAGGCATTACTTGAAATTAGACACACGCGCGCTCAACTAAAAGATTTCTTATCGTAGCATTAGTTTGTTACACTTGTTAATATACTAATTTAAATGTGCCTTGGCCCTTCTGCTGCCCGAACCTGTGAATCTTTGAGGCAACCGAGAAGAAATATACTTGCTAGCAAAACAATTGACATTTAACACACATATTACAATGTTGCGTTTGCATCTTCGACCCGTAGTCGAAGCCGGTTCTTATGCGATTTGTTTATGAGCTAATGAACCAGTTTTTGCCATCGAGTTGAATTCTAAATTCTATACTGCTTAAACCATCTTTTTGTGTCATTGGCATGAGCCATTTATTATAAATATTATAGTCATTCTTTAGTAAGGCATGCCCCTTTTCTTTGCATAAAACGAAACTAGTTTTTCTTTTTGCGAAAGTAAAAGTCAAAATTTACACAATCGTTGCGACAGTGTGCCTTGTGAAATGCGAAACAAGTTCTCTTCACACACAGTGCGAGTAGATAAAATATAGTAAGTATATACATATAGTATCTATTATATACTTATATGCCTTAGTTTTATCCACTGTGGCTTTTTAGCGGTTATTAATTGTGCATAAATTTTATGGCTAGTGGTTTTGTTTTTCAACTCAATGTTGCGTCAGTGTGGCTCAAGAATGTCATACCTGCATATACTTCCTGTTCTAAACTGCTTTATTAAATTGTCTCGCACATGTATTAAATATATTGGGATACCAAAAAAGAACACACAAATCAATTCAAAGTGTGATTTTATTAGTCAGCGAGAACGACAAATATTATGGTGGGAGAATGGATTATTTTATAGCCATATTTTTAAAAGCAGTCCCGCTTAATTTTTTGTAATTCAGGTCGTTAGCACATAAAATATATTCAAAATTGGGGTAATTTTGTGGTCTCTGAAATTCCCATTCACTAATATGCTCATTTAATTTTCCAAGCATGACAAATATATATACTATACTATATTTATAATATATTTTACCATACTCTTAAAAGCAAAACGTAAAAGGAATCGAAGAACTATACTTTGGTATCATTTTATTAATTTACGAGTACTCATAACCTACAAGGACTCGTGGTCAATCGAGAGATCTAAGAATTTGAAGGATTCACAATCGCGTAGAGGCAAGCCTTTCTAAACATTCTTCAGTTTGTCTGTCTGTATGAACACGTCTATGTCGTAGAGCTAAGAAGCTAGTCTCGCCAAGCTGCACATTTTTTGCTAATTTGTTAATAATGTATTATATTTGACTCTTATTCTTACTATATAATTGCATGTTCCCTCGAAATGAGCAACGCTGCCATAATAGCAGCAAGTGTTAGTTTGTAGCCCCTCGATTATCAGGTGCAAGATATTCTGAACAGTGCTGGCCATTGCCATTAACAACACAAGCTATTGTCCGTGCAAGGCGAGAATCGAAACCAGTCAATGCTATATTTCTTCAACTAAATTAAACACGCTTACCAGATCTATTTTGATCGCATTAACATGTTAATGATAATTAGGCCCGTGCCAGTTGTCTGGCCGAGGGTTGGTGTCTGTGCATTAACCTCTATAGTGATCTTAGACTGAAATCGCATGTTGTCAATGCTTTTTGACCAGAACTTATAAAATTCTATATTTTTGAATACATTAAAAAATTAATTTTAAACAGACGCAACCAAATTGCATAATTTTCATGTAGTTTATGCTTAAAATGTGCATAGAAATATAAACTGGTTTCGAAAACATAGAAACAATCCGCTTTTAAACTGCGACTAATTTTCTAGTTTTGTTAAATACTATTTGTAGACTAGCATAAAAATTCCCTAATTGACTAGTCTAGCATGTAGTTGAGATGAAAGAGCTTCGAATTTTTGGTAAGCACGTCGGGGTCAAGATATTATATTTAGTGAGGTTTTCCTTATTAGTTTTTTTTTTAGCAAATTTAACTTCTCACACTTTTAGGTAATTTCGTTTTTATTTCTGGCCATCACTGATCACAGCCCAATTAACCCCATGACACCAGAAGTCATATATTCTAGCACCGCAGCTACATTTGAGGTAGGAGTAGTTAGGTAGCATTTTCCAAACTGCGTCATGCCCAGTGTCGTTGCATTCAAAAACTTGTTTATTTAATAATTAAAATGATTTATGTGACTGATTGATGTGGTTCGCTTGTGCTAGCTGTTCTCGGCTACGAGCATAGCTCCCCTCCAAAAAAAGGTGTTCATGTGCCCGCGGAGGTACTTATTATTTTTCTATTGCCATTCTTGCTGTTGTTTGCAGCACAACATGCACATAAATTGCAGCCATAAAGCAAAATGTTAACAACAATAGTTGCAAAAAAAAAAACCAAAGCCGAACCCAGAAACAAACTGAGGCCAGTCGCAGAGAGAAGGTCGGCAGCTGAGCCAACAAACTGCGCCGGGCTTTGGGTGTTTATGTTCACAATTATTGTTTGTCAGTTCTTCTGCCCGCTGGTAAAGAACACTGTGCGACAGAACTTTAAAATACAAATAAACTTCTTTTCAACATTGATACATAAGTATTATTGTAAATTGATTAACAAAGCCATTGATCTCTATACATAAGTATTATTGTAAATTCATTAACAACGCCACGATCTGAATGATATACTTATAAAGAGCACAACTTAAATAAATGCAGTAAATAAGTGAAATAAATTTAAAGAAACTATTATAAGCTTATGAATACATTACAAAACTAGTTCTTTAACGCGTATATGTATTTCGAATACCATTATTACACTCTGCTGACTTACTTTAGAACACATATACTTTCAATACTTCCGTGATAATGAAATAAATTAATTTTCTTTAATTCTATTTTATTTGCTGAGAAAAATTGAAATTAAAATGTGCTTGGAAAATATTTTAATGCGCTTTTTTTAGGGTACAGCTACGTACAATAAGAGATATATAGATATTTCAATCCAGTTCAGAATCATACATTCCTTATAAATCCAAACCTTTGGCTGCACTTTGTCGGTGCTCCAAGTTCTTTAAACTTACAGAGATCGTCGGACAGCAAGAAGACCAGTTCCTTGCCAATGTCTTCATTTGATTAGAACTATAATATTAAACCGCAGATTGAAACGGGATGTATTGGAATTACTTTGTAAGAGAGTTGGGTGTTTTATTCCTTCCTACTTAGATTCCAATTCAAACATTGTACAAGAAAAACTTTACCTAGTAATAAGAATAAATTATTGATGTAGACCGACTAACTAAAATGCTAAAAATTGAACTCTTTAGCATAAATATCTCTGCATATTTTAGTCATTTTCTTAACTTAAATCAAAACATTTTTAGACCTTTTCTTTACGTAAATAAATACAAATTTTGGAAAATGTAATTTTACAAGTAGTAGTAGTAGGAGCTTTTTTTCATATTCACCTTAAAAAGGTTACCAAACCGTTTATTAATTATATGGTTAAGCTTAAAAATAAAGTCTGTCGATCAATTAAAATTACTCTGAACTACTAAACCTCGCTGCCCAAAACTTACTCAGATACCAAATCGTTGGACGTGAAGTTCAGCTAAGATTTGAGTGTTACAGCAAAACTTAAATTAATAATTATTTAACCCCCGTCAGCCATTATGATTATTCCATTAATATTTATTTTGTTAATTTAAAAATCTAAGACATCTATAAGTTAATTTTTCTGTTCTTGCAATTATTATTTAAGAAGTTATAAAATATTAATTATTAAGTGTGCAAAATTGTGTTGCATAGTGTGCGTTTTTTATTTCTTTGGTGTTCAAATTTCAAATCTAAAGCCTGCCCACAAACACTTGTGAGTTGAGTTTTTGGCTTCCTAGTCGCCTTTAGGCGCATTTGAATTTTTCGTTGATATTTTTGAATGGCGCCCACGGGGCAGTGGCCACAAAAAATGTCAAATTCAATTTTCGCCAGGCGTCATACTAAATTACTTTGCAAAATTAATGCCTTTTGTCAACGCCCACACCCACGCCCGTGCCATGAGCATGAGCATGAGCATGACGGCTTAGCTGGAGACAGGCAGCTGGACAGTTGGACAGCTGGACAGCTGTTGTGTCGCGTGCGCACTTCGCGGCGCTTGTAATTTGATTAAAGCGTGTGAAAGTTATTAAATTTCTTAAATTTTATTGTTATTGTTATTGTTACAGTGTTGGGGACGATGAAAGCATGCAGGGGAGCACAAGTGCGCAGAGCAAGGCGCTGGTCTCGCCAGTGATGAGCTCGCCCACCAAAATGCTGCAGCAACAGCAGCAGCAGCAACAACAACAACTGCAGCAACAGCATCAACAACAACTGCAGCAGCAACAACTAGAATTCCAGCAACAACAGCAGCAGCAACAACAATATTTACAGCAGCAGGCGACAAACAACACAACAACCTATGGCCTGACCATGATGAGCAGCATAATGGGCGCCCATAATGAGAATAGTAGCTCTTCCGGCTGTGGCGGCACCGTTTCCTCACTGTCCATGGCCGCAGTGATGTCCACCAGCACTGGGCCGATCATTAAGCAGGAAGTCGAGGATGCAACCATGAAGACATTCGAGCGCCTGGAGATGTCAGCGGCCAGCGGTCACTTCGGACGACCCAGCAACTTGAATCAGGAGTACAGCGCCATGGTAGCATCGGTCTATGAAAATGAAATAGCCAAGTGAGTGACTAGCTGCTGCATTATTGAGCCATGCGGCCAGCTAATTGACAATTAGACACATTGCGCAAATGCCAGGCCAACAAAGTATAGTAGCTATATACGTATATACTTGTATGTTCGATCGATCGCTTGACAGCTTCAGTTCGCTAACCGAACTGCCAAACTGGTGCGCCAGCAGCTTTTGATAGAATGTCAAGTTGTCAATACATAAACGTCTGTTGTTTGTCTTGTGAGTCTGACTTTTGGGGTAAAGGGGCTCTGCGCATGCGCAACACCCGCTTAGAGAATTCGCTGCTTTTGAAGGCATTTAAAGCATTCCGAGCAGCGCAGGCAGGCAGTGTCGCACATAAATTTATGGCTGCAATTATTCAATTTAAAGCATTTTGACCATTTAAAGTGCTTTATTCAATAGTGCTGGGGATGGTGCTGCTGTTTGGGGGGCTTTGCTTTTATGGTCAGCGGCTGCCTAGGCTGGCTAGGCTATGCTGTAAATGGCAGTGCTTTGAATGCAAATTACAGACCGAATTGGTTAGAATTTTGGGCTGGGTTTGGGGCAGTTTCTGTGTTTTTTTTTTAAGGCAGCGCTCTTTCTATAAATGTTAACAGTCTTGATGTCTCTTACGTCTATCTCAGCAGTGACAATGTGTCGGTGGCTTCGGACCTAACGCGTATGTATGTCAGCGATGAGGATGAGAAGCATGAGCCACGAGTGCCGCATTATCATTGATTGAGCTGGACGTGTCCAAACAAAAGAAAAGGCAGGTCCTCTTCGAGATATTTTTACCCCCAAAGCGTGACCTCCAGTTTTGTGTTATTAAGTAGTAAGGCTAATAAGTGTGTAGCCTTTTTTAATTCGATGTACATGTATACATAATTATAATATTCACCGCAAAGGAATGTCAACAGGCAGAGCTTGAGTTTATTCTTGATATCTTGACAATGTTATTCTACTAAAAACTGGTACTTTAGAGTTAAAAAAAAAAAAAATACAAGCTATACATTATTCTATTTAAAATGTTGCTTAATTGTGTAGCTTTTGTAAGAAGAGAAAACATTGAATGATTATTACAACATTTCAAGCAGCTGCTTAAATGCTTAAACAAAACGTTTTTTAAATTACATATTAGTACAGAAAACCAAAAATAGCTCTTAACTAATATCGGGTATACAAGTGCTTTATAATGTTTACCAAAAAAACATGTTTAAATGAAAAAAAATTGAAAAATATACATGTGTTTACAATAATAAAAAAACAACAACAATGATTTAAGCAATTAAAGCCTGCAGATATACATATACATATATAGGCAAAGTTTATTATCTTACCGTTGAAATACAAAAAACAAAAAAAAAAAAATACTAGTGGCTAGTACTTGGTTTAAAAGAAATGAATAGGAAGAAAAGTACTATATTTCTATAAAAATAAACAAAAAGCCAATTACAAAAGTAACATATAGAATGGCAGACTGGAATGGACTATCGATGAGTATTATCTGAGAGAAAATCTAAACATCAATCAGAAGCTAACGATCGCAATCACAAGACTTGATAACTATTATTATCGAAAGTTTCTGGGAATCACCTTCCAAAGAAAGAAAAGATATGAAGAAAGAAACGTAAATATATATTTTTCTATTATCCTCTTGCCTTTAGATTTTCTTTTAAACTAAATACTAGATTTAAGCATGAATTAGTTTTATTTGAAATAATATAATTACATAAACATGAAAAGCTTCCACCTGGAAACCACCATAATTTATGAAATTATATTATTTTGTGCATTCAGGCAACGTTTTTAAAATGCTGAATGAGGAATGTGTATTTTGATTACAATTACATGGGCAGTTCCTGGATTGAATAGTGCAAATATGAAATATTTATGTACATAATTATTTATGCATACTACATATACATATATACATATATATGAGTATATATTTACAAAACATTCAACTAAGATAAATTTGTTAAAGCTACAAAACATATACATGCATACACTATTCGAGAGAATTGTTAAAGCTACAAATCATATACATACATATACTATTCGTATTTACAAAGTTACATTATTTACATACATACATGCATATGTGTATAGATTTAATTAGCAACTAAGCGATTTTATAACTGCGCGTGCTTCGTTTTGCAAACGCAGTTTAAAATAAAACATTGTACTTAGAGAAACCAAACAGAAAAACAAAAACCAAAGTATTTCATTTGAATTCATTTCGAGCTCTCCCACATCAATAATGCCAACCGCTGTGCGCCAAACAAATGAGTAACCCAACTGAACTTGTTGCCAAAATCCATGCCATGGAAATGGACAACTAAGGTGCGCAGCTTAGGTCAGATCAACAAGAAAAATGTGCTACAAATTGGCCAGAGCTGGGCTCGGATATAAAAGCTGAGCCGAACATTTACTTAAGCCGACGCCGTTGCGAATTAAGGTCATTGGTGCTCACCCAAGCTCCGATCGGGCTCAGCATGTGGGGGCTACGCACGGTAGTCAACGCATGGTCTAGTGGTAGTAGTGGAGGTAGTAGCCGAGAATACGAGTAAATCATTCTAGTCGTACACGAATATGCTTAATATGGCCCAAGACAACATAAATAATGCGCGCCACAAACATGGCAAAAACAATTACCAAAAGCTGCTGCCGTGCTGTTGTGGCAGAAAAAGAACACCAAACACAGCCAAATAAAACAAAAACAAAACACAAATAATAATAATAATAATAATTGTGGCCAATTGCTATTTAGTTGCTTGCCAGTTAATTGCAACATGGCCGAGACAATCGCAGTCACAATGCATGCTCGTAAGCTGCAAAAGGCAACAAAAGCACCAACAACAACAATAACATCTGCACGGCGCACGAGCTAGCAGGCCATGTTGTTGTACCCTTTCCAGATCAAAACTTTCGAAAGGTTGTGCCTCAGCAATGAGGAGGAATGTAACGGAAAGTGGCAAAGAATCAAAGAATAATTTCATTCAAAACTCGTTGCCTATTGAGAACCAAAAAGTATTTGATTTATAAAAGTACTGAAAACAATGTGGAATTTTTTACCAGCGATATGTTTTGTCTTCTTCTTTGTTGCTTATATTATTTATTTATAACATGAAAGCATATAACATGCTTTAAAGCTGCAAGTCTGTATCAATATTTTATTTAGATTAATTGTAACATGAAAAATATTTTGGCTATCTAAAAATGTTTGGTATTTCTTTTAATTTTTAGATAGCAAATACTGTTTTTAAAATCAAATAAATTGCTAAATTGGTTAATCCAATACTGTTTTCATTTTTAAATAAATAAACTGTTCTATGGAGATTTTTGATTTTAGGCGTCCTTTGCTGTGAAACAAATTTTTGATTGAACAAAATCGACGCTGTCAACCAGTCTTTTGACTAATCGGATATTGTAAACGAAGTGGATGACAAGACGAGTCGATATAGCCATGTCCGTCCGTCCATCCGTCTGTCCGTATGAACGCAAGGATCTCAGAAAGTATAAGAGCTAGAACAACCAAACTTGGTATCCAGATTCTGCTATTTAGACCAACAATTTGAAGATCACAGTTACACTTTATTAGCTTCATGCTGCCATAACGCATTATTTCCTACTGTCAAGAAGGTTGTGGTGAGTAACAACATAAGTAATGTATACTAGCGCTTAATTCCTTTAATAATACTGTCCATTTAATAAAGGCATTCGGTAATAGCGTAAACAAAAAGGCTTCTGTGCTTTGCAGTATGTACTCTTATTGGCTTAATGTCATACCGCAGCGTAGGGAAGACATATTTGTATTATTTGTAATTTGTGTTTAAAATGTTTATTAGTTAGAAATAAAATTACAAAACACAAATTCTTTTAAAAGCGAAAAGTAGAAACTACAAATCAAAGCTACAATTTCATTTCTTTCTATAAAAATGCTCTCAATTCATTTCAAACAATCCCCATTTCATGGAACTGCTAGAAGTATTTGCTTAAATATATTATAATAAAAAGGTGTAATTAAGCCAGGTCTTTTGTTGCTAAATTAAAATTTTCTCTTTAAAACCTACACGTTTACATTTTTACAAATCCAACTGTATTAGAATTTGTAGAATTGAGAAAATTTTACATGTATATACTTATATTCTATATTTGAAAAATTTGAAACGGCGAAACAGAACACGATTAATCTACATCGAATTGCTTTGCCAAACATTTACAATTTGTTTACAATTTACAGCGAACGAGATGACCAGTTACTTCTCAGTCGCTTTTTTAATGTAGATTTTTTTTTTTAACAAATTCGAGTTTATATTTACTTTGAATACCGAAATTTGTAGCATTGTTAATGCTCTTAATCGTTTTCTCTTTTCTTTTCAACATTTTCCACAATTCCCAATAAACAAGCAGGTTGATTTTTCAGTCACATCGATAAAACCAAATCGGGCATAATAGCTTAAAGACATGAGATAATAACAATAGGTCTATTATGAAAATGTTGATTTCGTTTAAAAATCCGACGTTGATAAATAATCTGTATTAGATGGAAAAAAAAACTTTAGAAAACAATGCAGAGTATAAATATATATAATCGGGTTTACGATGCAGAAGAAAACACACAAACAAGTCTATTTAAATAGCATGTAAATTTCATTTTCAAACATACAAATAAACAAACAAGTTATATCATAATATAACACACATATAACTATGCATTAAGTGTATTTTAGAGCCGACTACTGTTCACTCGAATATAGCTTCTCATTCTCTCTGTTCTTTTCCATATTAAGGAGTTCAAACTCGTCGACCATTTGGTGACTGTGCAGCGCCATTACAAAGACAAGCAGCTAATTTTTATTTACTGTAAACGTGCGCCGGGTGTTTTTTGGTTTTTGGTTTTGTTTTTTGTTAGTTTTACTATTCATTTATTGGTGGGAATTGTTTGGCGATGACTTTTGCAGGTTGCAGTTACAGTTGCAGTTGCGTGTCTGAAGCGAATTAGTCGCCCACTGACAGACGGTGCGCAAAAAGCGTCAATTGAGTTGTCAGTTGACTGACACAACATGGCTCGGTTAGCACCCCAGCTAAGGCCAACTGGGTGGCATGCACAATAATTGCCGGATGGTGTTGATGGGCTCCACAACACATTTGGCAACAACTCATTTGAGACGCGCTTCAAAGCAAATGCAAATCGAACAGGAAATCGAAAATGCGACAACAATTAATTTGAAAGTTAAAAGCAACAGCCATTTGATGATGATAAGTCGGCCACAAAGCGCACATATTCGCCATAAGTCCGACAAGGCTAGATGTTTAGCTGACTATGGCTCAAAAGTTGAGTTCAAGTTCAACCACGTAAAGAAAATGGGCGGCAACATTATATAAATTGGCTGAACAGTAGAAAACAGTTTAACCGAGCTCACATTTTTTGCCAATGCTCAATCATATTTGTGCCCGATCTTTGTTGATTTTTTCTTTTCTTTCCTTTTTCTTTCTGTATGCTAATTATGTAAGAGTGAAATGTAATTTAGATCGCAATATGCCATAAAATGCTCCAGCTTTGTCGTTCACATCGGTGCGCATATTTTGTCAATGGCCCAGCTCACGCTCCCAGTCGTGTATAGACAAAGTGCAATAATTCACACTCACTTTGGCCAGCGATTGACGTTTAATGGGCACAACAACGTACTATGGAGCGGCTTCAGATATTGAGCGGACTTACAATATATTTTTTAGCTGTTTGAACTGACTATGAAGAGGCAATCCTGAAATATACTGATTAATTAAATAAGAAGTAAGAGTTATGAGAAATTCGGAGCATTACCGAATTTCCATTTTTCCCTTTTCAGCTGTTAGAGGACTGAATAGGCTATCCTCAAATAGAAAGATAATTAATTCTCAATAAGAAGTAAGAGGTTTGAGAAATTCGGAGCATTACCGAATTTCCATTTTCCCTTTTCAGCTGTTAGAAGACTGAATAGGCTATCCTCAAATAGAAAGATAATTAATTCTCAATAAGAAGTAAGAGGTTTGAGAAATTCGGAGCATTACCGAATTTCCATTTTTCCCTTTTCAGCTGTTAGAGGACTGAATAGGCTATCCTCAAATAGACAGATAATTAATTCTCAATAAGAAGTAAGAGTTATGAGAAATTCGAAGCATTTCCAAAATATTGCAGTAGGCTTTTTATGTAGGAAGAACAAAAAGTAGTAAAGGTAGTTAAAGTCGACCGAATTATGTTTAAAAATAGATAAAAGTTAATATGAAATTGAGTTTCTAGAAAACAATCAAATGTCTTGAACAAAATAAAGTACATTGCGGCTTAAATCATAAAGGAAGTTAAACATAAATTGCTTTTAAACTTAAGCTGTGCTACTCACAATTTTTTTCTGAAAAGGGGTTCTTATTATCAAATTTCTCCTCTCGAAAAAACTCTCCTAAATACATGCCTTCAACGTCATGGTCAGCTATCCACTAAAAAACACATCCATCCACGCTATCTGGACAACACAGTAGTATAACCCTCCAAAAAAAGATTTAAAAAAAACAGTATTGTCTCTGGTTTTGAGTAAATTCTGTTGAGAGTAGTAGTAGTAGAAATAGTATTCGTAGAATAGCAGTAATAACTTGAATTTGGAGAAGAATTATTTCATCTTGTATAAATAACAGTAATAGAAGTAGTAGTAGTAGTAAGTAAGTAGTAAGTAGCTCTTAGTAGTATTTGATGAGTTAATTTTTGCTATAAATTTCGGATTCGAACGTATTCGTATTGGTTCAATGATATGGTATAAAATAAATTCATATTTAACGAAGCAATATTCCATTTAGCATTATTATGTATTTTTATCTTTTATTCTTCATCATTTTACAAAAATTTGTCCGATAGGTCCTTTGAATCGGACTACTATATAAACATGTAAATAAGTATAAATAACATTTCCAACTGCTAATGATTCGATTTAAAAAGCATAACCATTTATTTCTATCAATTTTAAAACTATCCATTTATTTTACGATAAACCTTAAATCAATTTCTGACTATCACAATCCTCTATTTATTCCACAGTGGGGAGGCATTTGTAAAATGCCACACTTAAAGTTCGTTTGGTATGGGTATGGGTTCGGTAAATTCAAAAAATTTGCTTGATTATGAAATTGTACATGAACATGCTGCCACTTTATGGTTTATGACTCGATAAACTGCCGAGAGTTTTATATTTTCTGCATTTGTTAGCGGTCATGTGAAGCAGTCTAATTTACTAGCACGCCTTGGCTTGTAAATGTTATGAACTTTTGCCCATTGTCCAAATAAAGTTATTAAATTCAATTTATGATTTCTATAATCAAAATGCTTTGTGGCTGCCAAAAGCGTTTTGCATACGACATGCGCGCGCATGCGCAAGAAAAATGAAATGTTAGCCAAGTGCTGCGAGCATTTTACAGATTCAATTTTCTGATCAACAATTTATGGCTAATTTAATCATGATTTATCCAAGTGCCCATAAATAATAAGTACATTAGGCATAAATTTGAGCCAATTTAATGCCAGAGTGGTTAGTCACTTCGACAGTTGGGCGTCAAAGACGAGACAAGAGGCAAGGTCTTTGAAAACTAATCGGCTTTTATTTCACATTTAATTAATTAAACATTAATTAGTGAGCCTTGGTGACAGGCACATAAAGATGCATATCTGTAGACTCCATTCTAAGCGGTTCGTCTTCGCCTCAATTATGTTAAATTCTCGAATTAGCGGAGGCACGAACCCAACCAAGCGGGCTCGAAAGCCCACTGTCTGTGCCAGGTCTGGACCCCAAACAGCAGCCGCATTCGCGTTTATCGGACGAGAGACTGAGACTGAGTCTGAGACTGAATCTGAGACTCGTGTGCAACTTCGTTTGGCGCTGAGCTGCTGAGCTTTTTGGTACTTCTACCTGGCGTTGCATAAAAAGTGGTTCAGTGGAGCAAACGGCTTCAACCTGTGAGCGTCGCGCACGCGCTTGAAAATTCGAATACAAAGTGCTCGCACACGGTACGGAAGTGAAGTGTAGGTGCCAAAAATATATCACATCAAAAGGACTGCCAGTGAGAGTCCTGGCGCGCATATTTCGAAATTTACTTTCAATTGGCAAGTGCATTTTAAATTAATAGTTCAGTTAATTATTTCCAGCTTTTGCGCGCACATATATTTTGGATTAACATTTTACTTAATTGTGGATAAAATAAATCAAGAAGGTGAGCTCTTACACTTGATATAACTTATAAAATTTAATTTCTAAATTAATATTTGGCTTGTGTGACTTGTGTAAGAAGTGCATGAAAAAGAAAAACTCTTTGTATGTACAATATAATTGGCAAGTGAAATGAATAAAGGAAATTAATTGAAAGCTCTATTAGTCGCTATCAGCAAATCCTTTAATGAATAAAAAACATCACAAATAAATAAATCACAAAGCTTTATACTTTGCTCTGTACTTTTTTTGTCAAAACGATTATTTATTTCAAACTGACAGTTGGTAACAAAAATAATTGGCATGTGAAATGAATAAAGGAAATTAATTGAAAGTTCTATTAAGAATTGTTATCGGCAAATCCTTTAATGAATAAAAAACATCACAAATAGGAAAATCAGAAAACTTTATACTTTTATCAGTAATTTTCTAGTCAAAAGCATTATTTATATGAAACTGATAATTGGTAACCAAATCAGAAAAGTGGAAAAAAAATGTCCTGTATGGGCACCAATTGAAAGATGGTATAAAAGAATGAATGTTTTAAAAAAATGGTTGTACTCCAATTTAAAGATACTGGAAAATGTAAACCCCTAAGAAGACTCCCTTTAGACTCAGTTACTCGAAGACGATAACGCCTAAAGAGAGACCCAGAAATGGCTTCAAGAGGGAGTGGAATAATACAATTAGAGCTTCTGGGAAATATCAGCTTAAAAGTAATATTTTAAGTTCTTATGAAATGCTCGGATATGTATAGTATTGTTTGTTTTTTGTTCACGAATTTCAATAAAATTTCACTTCTCTAAATAATTTCATATATACAATTTTAAACTTACTTGAGATCTGCCCTTTAATGGAAAATTATTAAGATATTTGAGGTATGAAAAATTAGAAGTTAAAAAGGCTTCCTAAAATAGTGGTTTCAGTTGTTTGTTTGGTAACTTTTATATTCAATAACCCTTTTATTCTATGGACCTGTTACTTCTAAATTGAATGACACAAAAGAAATAAATAACCTTAAGCTCAGCAGCTGCTAGAAAGCCTAAAATTTGTGACAAAAAGTGTCATTTAAACAAAAATTGTGCAGCTATAACTGACATTCTATTAAATTGAATTAAACAATAATGACAATAGGTTCAATGACTCAAAAACCGTTTTATTTTGCGCAAGCAAAAATTGGGAACTCAGTTTATTTAACAATTATGAAAACAAACAATAAATAAAAATTGTAAAAAATTCCCTAATTAAATTTTATGGTCAATGTCAATGCTCAGCTTTTTTCCATTCTGTTTGTGATTTTATTAGTACGATATATATATATATATATTAAATTTGTATAATCCTGTTACTGTGCAAGTATTAGATACTTTTTTTTTAATAAAAAGCAATTGCATTTTATTTGTTTAAATTAAATTCAATTTATTTTCTACTTACTGTGTCTTTGTTTCGAGAAATATACATAAGAAGATTGATTTTATTAAAGTATCGTTTCAAAATAATGACATTCATTATATTGGCAATTTAACGACTCGAATCGGGAGTTAAACATTTCTGTAAATACATACTTGTATTTTAACCACTATTTTTAGACTTCGTTCAAGGCAATTTGAAGGAAATTGTGAAAAATAGACGGCTTAGCTATTTATTCAAAAGCTGTTCTACTATTTAATATTAAATTATTCATCATGCGTCTATTTATAAAAAAACTAAGTCTATTAGTACGAACTTCAGTTATGTCTGGCGTGAAAGTGGAAAGATCAGGTTCAGGCTCTCCAAGGTTCGTACAGCGAACGATTAAGTTTCTTAGTTTTAACTGAATTAGGAAAGCTTTTAATATTATTATAAATTGCAACTGGTCTGGTCTGGCTTGGTTTCTTGTTTGTTTCCCTGTTGGTCTTCTTGCTGGCGTGAACTCGTTTAACTCTCCCAAGGGAGTCTATTTTAAAATGCTAAGAATTTAAAAAGGAAGGACAAAAATAAGTCAAATATGAAGACCAAGAAGAAACGTTTTGTAATATACTTTAAATGTTATTTTAAAAAAAATATTTAATTTACATTTAAAAAACTCATACAAATCAAGAAGATGAAAAGCCTTACATACACCAAAATCCAATCAATTCAATAAGAAGCGTAAATTGCAAGTTTCTTCTTTCAGTTCTTGGACTGCATCTTGTTTAAGTCATTGGCTAATTTATTAATTAAAGCATCCATCAGTTGAATAAAACTGGTTAGTAACAAAGCCATTAAGCTTATAATGTTGATAGAAATAGATAAATAATATTACAGCAATGTGCATCCACTCATGAAGCCATAATAATAGCGCTCGATTTCAATTAATTTACAATTGCAATCGATTGCTTTAATCAGCTTGACAGTTCGACAAATGTCAGGCGGTAGCTCATGAGTCAGACAAGCAACAACAAAACATTAAAAACAAATTTGCATATTAATTTTAATTGAGTAAGCAACACGAGTGCACAAAGCAATTGCAGGCATGCAGGCAGCACTTAGTGGATGGAGTCGGTAAATCGAAATTGAAATTGAAAATGTCAAATTCGAATGAAATCGACTTGAATAAGCCATTCGGATCTTCGACCGCAATGGCGGCTGCGCCATCGACTGTGGTGGGTCCTTTGCAAGCAACAAGCTGGCTTGTAATGATCACAAATTAACATACAATGTGTAGCACAAACGACAGATTGTCAAACACCAAGGCGAACAAATGCCGAAAGTGTTGCCAACTTCGGTCTCAGCTGCTGGCCAAGCACCACTATTGGTCAACTATTCCAGGGGGACTGACTGACCAGAGTCCGGTGAAGTGGGCGCGCATTGTGTTAGCATGCAGTTTACATTTGGCTGACTAATAAATTATTCATGTATTGTTTGTGCAGATAAATGAATGTTGCCTCTAACAGGCAACGTGTAAATGGATTTACGCATTTTTGAAATACTCTAAAGCAGGTTTTTTAATTATTTTATGAAAGAGTTATGGGAATGTGTGTAGGAAACTATTGGATGCTATGCAGTGTTCATAAGAAGTACGAGAAGACGAGTGGAGCTAATAATATTGGTATATTTTCGGAAAGATTAAAAGGATTAAAAAGTATTAATGTAAGCTTTTGAATTCTTACGATTCTTCTTATTCTACAATTTCAATCACAGTTTGATGTTCCTTTTATCCTCGGCTTTTCTAAAAAGTTACGGAACTTCAGTTACATAAAACAGTTTTTACAATTTATATATATTAAAAAGAAAAAACAATTCAATGAATGATTCGAAGAGTTTTAAGATGCATTTTTCAAACTGAAAACATATCTAAGAATGTTTGTGGAAAAGAGTATAAAAAAGTAGGCTGTCTCTAACACTCCACTTGTGTTTTCTCTTTTTTGTTTTCTTTGGCAACGGTTTTGAATTGAAAAGCTAGTTTGTGTCTTAAGTTGTTTGATTGTGCTTGCAACGAGCATGCCAGAAATGGACAATAAAAACAAATTCATTTCTTATGTTTATACCTATATGCACAAGTATAGCAAATACTAGGTTATAGGAGCAGCAATGTTCGAGCCATGCGCTCATCTCGACTGCCATAAATTATCTTTTTTTCGCTTGCCACTATTTCCGACTTGAAAGTGAATTGTTCCAAAAAAAAACAACAAAAACTGTTGCATAAAATTCCAAATGACATTGACATCGAACGTATAAAGGCAACTGCAAAAAAAGAATTCGCAAAAATCATATGTATATGTATCGGATTTGCATATGCAAATTGGATTCCCACGACTTTTAATTACGAAAAAAAAGAGTTAGAAGGCAAAAACTATTTGCGAACACGTTGCTGTTGTTTTTCTCATTTAATCCGATACATATAGTTTTTCATTGTTGATGGACTTTTAGCGGCTTTGACAAGCAAGCAAAACAACAACAACAACATGCCAGCTTAGTAGCCAATGTTTGATCAAATCAAATTTTCAATGCCTATTAAAACAGCAGCTGCTCATCGTCATCAGGTTCGATTCGTCACAGTGTTTGTTTTTACTCTTCGTAAGTTTTGTTTCGGTTTTCTGTCTGTTGTTGTCCGCAACGTTAATTAACACTATTAATACAACTATTTGATCAGTCGCCGACAGCCGCTTTGCGCCGTAAATTAATGATGCAAATTGAATCAGCATTTGTTTTAGTTTTTCTTATCAGTTAAGTATGGGTACGGATATTGAAAATTCGAGCTCCCTCGGGCGCTGATTTAATTATTTATGTATGTAGGCGACAGGTGAGCCTGGTTGGTGAGCGTAGATTGTTAACTTGGCCAACAGCAAACTGGTTGTCGCATGCGCCAAATTGAAAGTCAGACAACGCCTTGTTCGCAAAAACACTTTCAGGCCGACCATTTAGCTGCGTGGCATATGCAAATGGCATTGCCGCTCCTTCAAATGCGTAATCGGCGTAAAGTCGACGCTTTGACATTTGCCACAGACAGGCCAATAAATGGGCATTAATTGAACACCTCCACCATTAGGTGAGTACGAGTAGAAGCAACAACGTACACATAACACAGTGGAGTTCGCTTCAAGAACACACAAACACACACACACACACACTTTATAATAGTGGTGTGCCTTTAAAGGTCTTAGAGAGGCCTCGCAGGCATGGCAATAATTACTTCACTTATGTTCTAGTAGAACAGTATTTTTGTGGTAGCAGGTAGCACAATAAATTAGATTCAATTCAGATTTTAGAATCCCCAAAACATGAAGCATAACTTTTAGAGAGAAAAGAGTGAGATGACCAAAGCCTCAAATAAAAGTATAAATCCTTCACAATGTTTAGTTAGGACTGCAGGGAAAAGGGCCCGATGCACCTACAGTAGGATCTTGGTAAGTCCACACTTAATTATGTATTTTATTTTTTTATGGCTAGTGCATTAATTTATAAGAATCTTTCTTGTCGCACTAGGAACAAATAATAAAAAAATAATAAATATTGAACAATATACAATACCTAGGGGCTACT